TCCAGTAATCAATATTTCGTAAAAACAAAAATACCATTAGCTGCTTCCAAACAAAACCAGCTGTTACTGTTAATCCTAACAAACTTTGTTTTCAAGAGGAGTCGCAAGCAGCGAATTTCGGCTTAAGTTATATAAATTTGAAATACTTACCTTTTGATTACTGCACATAGGCCTAATAACTAAGCTAAACTAGTTTGTATACAATAACTATGCTATAGGAATGGAATGGTTATTTATTCACGTCACTCTTTTCAACGTAATTTAATATGGACGTGAAAAGAAGTTAACGTATTTCATTTTTGTTCATTCAAACATAATATGCATTATTATTCATTCGGTAACAAATTATGAACAGCTATTACTGGCAAAGGTGGACAAATACCTGTTGTAAAATTTAGTTCTAGGTATCTGGTACAAAGTATTTCACGGTTTGTCAAAGTTTTAACCTTTGTGAATTTAAGCTAAACCATGAACAGTTAGTAGCCTACTTAAGAAGGTTAAAAAAATATAAATGAATAACTTACAAAGAAGTCTGTTAGGCCTCTCGCACTCCGAATGGCCTTAATTGCAGTTTCTTAGAATATCCTTTCACAACAAGCAATTCATTAGGTGTCCGGTAACTTGGTTCAGTTCACTTTCGTGTGATTCCCCTCTAATGTCCAACATAATTATTGTTTTGATTTTACTTGGTAATCATAATAGACAAGCTCCTGGGTGAAATGAGGGGGTACAATTCCAGGGGGTACAATTCCGGGCCGTACATCTTCTTCTGCGGTCACCAGGGGGTACAATTCCAGGGGGGTACAATTCCGGTCCTATAAGAAGAGCTAGACTGCCGGGGGGTACAATTCCAGGGGGGTACAATTCCACCCCGTACACTGGCCAAATAAAAGTGAGCCCTGACTGAGGGGGTACAATTCCAGGGGGGTACAATTCCGGTCCGTACAGTTATTTAGATGCCAGTGGATTTAATCAAACCACTCACGCATAACAATATCAAAGTTTTATGAGGGGGGTACGATTCCAGCCCGTACACGCCGTTTTGGTCGAGAAAATGAGACGTCATCGTGACGTCACTAACCTGCAGGGGGTACAATTCCAGGGGGGTACAATTCCGCCACCCCACAATCACTACTCATAACTTCCTAGAGAGGTTAATGTTTTCGTTTATTGTCATTGTCATTGAAATGCACTGTGATGCAACGACTTATTGTATAATCAGCTGATTTCATGTAATTACGTGTTTGTAAAACTTTGTTAAATATCAAATCAAATAATCTTTATTCATTTTTTTGTATTTACATGAATACATTGAATAGAGTCACATTTCTTATAACTAATGTCCTTAATTAAAATATGATGGTTACAAATAAAACTGTTTTATGTTGTTGTATGACAATGACACTAATAATTCTTTTTTTTTTACATTCCTTAAATTAAAAAAATTTTTACTTGAAAAGATAGGATGAGTCAATAGGTATTCTTTAAGGCGGGTTTTGAAACTGGTATATTTTTCTTCACAAAGAATATTCTTAGGTAGATTATAAAGAAATGTAGTACCAATAAAAGTTGTTTTATTTTCAAAAATCTGTAATTTATGCAGTTCTACATATCTGTTATTTCTCAAGTTGTATGTATGTGATTTTTTACTGTATTTTTGTGTGTTTAATTTTTTTTACATGTAAAATGGTTTCAAATATATATAGGTCATAAACCGTCATGATTCCTAATTTGGAAAAATGGTTTTGTGGATTTTCTATTTTTTATATTAAAAATAATTCGTAATGCTTTCTTTTGCTGTTTCAGAATTTTTTTAAGGTTTTTATTGCTAGTCCCGCCATATATAGCAATACCATAAGCCATATGCGAGTTGATCAGAGCAAAATAGATTGATTTGAGAGTGTTAATATTGCATACATGAGACATTTGTCTGAAAGCATGTATGCCAGTTGACATTTTATTTACTACATGATCAACATGCTTATCCCAACTCAAATTCTCGTCTAGAACCAATCCAAGGAATTTTGTATGGTTTACTTGAATAATTTTTGATCCATCTAGCTGAGCGTTTGGTTGTAATTTTAATCTAGCCTGTTTTGTATTGAATGATAAAAATTTGATTTATTTGAATTAATTAAAAGATTTTTACTGTTTGAAAATTCACTGACTGATATAAGATTTAAAAATGTTTTAAGCTCTATTTCTTCCTGGGATTCCCCTGTAACTATGATACTGGTATCATCAGCATACAGGCATACAGAACCTCCTGCATTTATAGCTTTTGGCAATCCTCTCATGTAACAAAGGAATAATAGAGGGCCTAGGATGGATCCCTGAGGAACCCCGTGTTTTATTGTTTTAAAATCAGAATAATAGTTTTGAGTATAAGTGTATTTACTATTGGGATAATTTAATTTATGTTGAATTTGGACACTTTGTTGCCAATTTGTTAAATAAGAAGAAAACCACTTGTGCTCCTTATTATCAATATTCAAACTAGAAAGAACATCAAGCAGCTTATCATGAGTCACACTGTCGAATGCCTTTGAAAAATCAAGGAAGATCCCAATTACTTTTTCATTTTTGTTGATTGAGTTTATAATCGATTCAATAAAGTTTATTCCCGCAGTAATCGTAGATTTACCAGGGCGAAAACCATGTTGTTCATTGTCAAACAACAGATTACTTTCTAAAAAGTTTAGCAGTTGGTTATACACCACTTTTTCTAAAATCTTTGAAAAAACCGGTAATAATGATACTGGTCTATAGCTCGAAGGTTCGAATGCATCCCCCTTTTTATAGACTGGCACAATTTTAGCAATTTTTAATTTACAAGGAAAATGGCAGGAAATTAATGAAGAATTAATAATATGGGTTAATGGTTTTGAGATAAGTGGGAAAGCCTGTTTAACTACAGCAACTGGAATTTCATCTATACCTGTTGACAGTTTATTGGTTAAGGACCTTATTATTTTTTCAACATCCCTTTCATCAACCTGCTTGAATTTGAAGTAGCTTGTGGGTTTAGGTGGATCATCAAAGTTCAATTGTTGGAGTTTATTGTTGTTGATGTTTGGAAGAACTAAGTTATCAATTACATTTATAAAATAATCATTTATTACATTTCCAACCAAAACAGGATCTGACTCAGGCTTACCGTTTGATCTGATTTTCATGTTACTGTTTGGTTTTGTTTTGTTGTTAATCTCAGAATTGATTATTTTCCAAGTTGATCTAACTATGTTTGTAGCTTCTGAAATCTTTTTATCAAAATATTTTTTTTTTCTCATTTATTAAATCAAACTTTAACTCTTTTTTTTACTGTTTAATTTTGTGTTTAGTGTCATCATTTTTAAATAATCTGTATTGTTTTTCAAGCTCCACAATGTTCAGTTTTTTTCTTTTAATGTCAAGAGATATCCATGGATTGTTGTTGTTAATCTTTTGAGTTTTTAACGTTTTAGGAAAGCTATTTTCAAAGGTGTGTAAAAAAATTGAATGGAAAGTGTCATACTTTGTTTCTACTGTTGCTTGGTAAACTTCATGCCAGTTAACTTTTGCCAATAGTGTAAGGAATACGTTTGTATTAGTATCCGAAAAGCTTCTTCTTGTATAAACTTTGTTTACACAGTTCTTACAACTATTTACATCAACCATTTCAAACAACTGTGCATCATGATCAGAAATGCATGTTATAATACCATATATTTTTAATTTCTTATCCTTAATATTAGTTATAATGTTGTCTATGGCACTTTCTGTTCCTGAGGTAATTCTAGTGGGAAAATCTACTTTGTATTCCATATTATAAGATTTTAGAACATTCACAAAGGATTTGTAGGTTTTATCTTTGTTTAAAACATTGATATTAATATCTCCAGCTATAACAATATTTTTGAAATTTTTACTCAACAGAGTAAAAATAGTAGTATGTAAATAATACATTACTTTTTCAGGCAATAGGTTCTGCTAGCAGCATTCTTACCATAAATACTGTATCAGGTACAATTAGGGAAATATTGCATATATTTTTGGACAACTGAATAATATAGTGAAACAGTTAATTTACAGTTAGATCTCAGCATCAAATATGTGGTCCACAATGAGTTGGGTGAAAAAGTGGTTAAGAGGTTTTCAAAATAAACCAGAAGAACATTTTCATTTATCAATTTAACCTTATTTTGTTTCGTCCATTTAATGAATTGCTGGTATGTAATTGCATATGGTACCTTTGTTTTGATTTTGGTGGCAAAAGATTAGCACAAACAGTTTGTGCTCTCATTTCTATCTCGTCAACATCACTTTTACTAACTGATATTTTAAAATCAATCTTCATTTAACTTCCACCAACTTAGGTTAAGAATACGCGAGTATCAACAGGAACAAGCCGGATCAACAATTAAAATTGTCAACTGATCAGCTGATCAGCTGATTAGTTGACGTTCGAAGTATTACAATTGTACTTCTTTTCTCTCAATCCTTGAACCTCATTGGTCCGTTACCCGTGTTGATATGAGAAAAACTATGCTGATATGAAAGTAAACAGGTGTTAAGTGAAACTTTTCAATTCTAAGAACTGAACTGAAATGGCTACTTTAAAAAACGGTCGTAGGTAAAAAAGTTTAAGATATCCTCTTTCTTTTAGTAATAAATTTTGTTGGAAAATAAAACTATCTGTTTGTTTATCTCGAAAACGGTATTTAATTTCTGGACAAGCCTCGTACTTTTGAAAATCAAATTTAATTATTGGGCTACAGTTAACTCAAAACAATAATGTTTCAAAATGATACCAATGATTAAAAAAATGGTCAAATTGATTTAGGATTTTGTAGTTCAGTAGCTGTTTGTTACAAGACTATGAAATTCCATTTTCAAACTATGGCTCGATATTCAACTTTGGCAAAACAAGAATTTTACCTTACGTAAAAGCTCTAACTGCCACACGCCTTCATAAACTTAATACTTGAAATACAAAAAATATAATAATTATCATATCTCACCTGAACTTCCAGATCATGCAGAGCCATGAGCAGTTCAGCGCGCAGAGTGCAGTAGTGAACATTGCGTGTGCGCAGAAACAACGTGCGCAAAAACTGTAATACCATGTCGTAGAGTTTCACACTGTTGCCGATCATGTGAGCCAACTTCTGAACAACGTCTCCCTGTCTCCTCAGCTAGGGACAAAGTATAAGTGGCGATGAGTGAATAGTCATAACCCATAGGATATGAAAAGAAACTATTTTAACACGTTGACTGCTGAAAACCTTTACACAGGCGCTCCTAAACTGCTGCAAGGCAACTGAATCCGCGGTTGCTATTAACATTGAAAAATCTCAGTAAGACGAATCACAAAAGAGCAATGGTGATTGTTCTGCGTTACCCCGAAAGTGGACGTAGTTCACCGAAACACGCAGGGAGCAGCATTGCCTTGATCAATATCCAGAGTCTTAGTAATATGGCTCAAATAGAACTATACTATTTGACGGGATTTTACGGGAATGTTTAATACCAACCTACACCAAAATAAAGCTTGTAGGGGAGATACAGCGTGGCAACAATCACATTGTCGCCGGCCAAGTGCTGGGCTTAGACAGACGCAATATTTGGCAGGCAAGCACACTACTTATATAGCAATAGGCCACGAGCAGTGCCAGTGCCGCGCTACTGCTATAACAGTAGGCCGCAGTCAACATGTTAATTTATGAACACGTAGGCTATAAAATATATCATATTATTATGTATCTTATTTGAAAAGGTTTAAGGATCTTCATACTTTGCCACGTAGATGTACCAAATCACTTGTCCTTCATCAGTTAAAAAGACTTTTAATCAACAAGAGCTTGAAGAAGCTTCTGATTAATATAGTAAGAGAAAAAGATTCAGCGATACTATAAGGTGTGGCTATAAAATAACAAGATTGGGTTCCTAAGAGACAAATGGTGTTACCCTCAAGTCCAAACACCATATTGCCAAGTCCACCTTCACACTCCAGCTGGCTTTGTGAATCTAGTATGATAACATTGGCCACAGACTTTGTTTGTGTTGGATCGTGTAGCTGCATGTCGTAAAAATGGTAGGCATAAAAGTTGAGCAACGCAATTGTGGCTCGGTACATCAGCAACAGATGTTTCCTTCAGATGTTTTCTCTCTTACTATTTATTCATAACAAACCAGAACTAGTTGCGGAACATGAATTTGTAGATAAGAGGTAAATGTTGCCAAAACTATCGTCATCCAACCTTAGAGGAAGTATATAAGTCACAAAACGAAACTAAGGAAAATTTACCTCTTATATAGATTAGACTTTTTTAGATATGTTAAGGGACTCGAGACTACACCAAAATGAAACATGAATTTGAAAAAAAACACCGCACATTCAGATTTCAAGAATATCCTTAAAACATTTACCAACACTGCTATTGAATATTTTAGTTCTAGTAAAATGTCCTTGCCGAAAAAAACTCAGGTACTAGAAAACCTGCACGACATTCACAATCCTGCACCGCATTTGGCAGCTAGGAAAACCCGCCATAATGGATTAGTGCCCCTTAAAACTGTCTGTCTCTAAACTAAAAATTACAGCATAATTTTAAGAGCATACCTTTGGTGACGGTGTGAAAAACAGGTTGGTCAAGTTGTTGTGGTCAAACAAGACGTTTTCTTTCTCTTTGATGTATTGCGACAGCAGCGGTGACACCTCGTCTCCAAACAGAGATTGGTTGTCCTTCCAGATCTGACGCTTCACTTCGGTGTCCGTGTCATTGTACAAGTCTCGGTCCCTTACCTGTGAAATTGAACAAAACACTACCAGTAGTACCAAGACATTACATTCATAATTTTGCATTTTCCTCTCCCATGTACAATATGTTAATCTCTTAAAGGGTATTTCAACATAAGTCAAAACTGTTTTCAAGATGCATTTAAAAGTTATATGGATTAAGGGGAACTAAGCTCAGTGAAAATTGCAAAGCAGGTTTTGAGGTTGAGGTTTTAAATGGTTTAACCCTTCCATGTTTATATTTTACCCCCCCCCCCCCCCCCAAATATAAAAAAGCCCATTATATGTCAAAGAGAATATTGATAAGTACAGTTACTGATCCGACATACATGATCATTACACGAGAATCAGCCATAATCTCAACTTAACTGTGAGTGCAAGAGGAGGAGCTTTACCTCCTACAGACATTACAATGATGATTATAAGCAAAACAAGACATTATGATTACAATGCAAGGAAAGGAAGGATAGTTACGGAGCTGCTAAATCTATTGACAAGAATATGAATCTCTTGGTTGGTTCTGTTTTTATTTAGGCCTACCACTTTGAGCAATTTTTTACGCTAAGAATGTGGTAGCAAAAGTAACTAAAAAAGAAGTGAATCTAAAAATGGTCTATAAGCAAACATTTGTAAAGGAAAGTAGATATTACCATAGTCTTCATAGTGAGACCTATATTTGTGACTAACGTATATCAAAGTGTATTTTTACTTTTATTATGAATATGTTTTAATAAAAACTCAACAACTAAACATCAACTTACTCTGAAAGTGTGATGTTACAGAGGTATTAATATAAATACTTTTAATTATCGTATTGATAAAGTTTTAGTTTTTAGGCCTACACTAATTTCAAAGATAGATATAGACCTACTTTGGTGGATGTTTAAATATTGACATTACCTACACAAGTACAAACGACAAAATAAAATACATAAAATATTTACTTAGGTAGCCCTTTCTGTTTTTTGTAGACCTTTGTAACTACAAGTAAAAATCTCACTGCTAGATAAAAGAGTAAATTATCTTAAGTCTGAAGTGGAACTTGAAGACTGATGCTGGCCTACTCACCAATACCCGCAGGTATTTATCATCTATGTGTGTTGTGTTACGTAGGATGGCCATTACAACTGGCCTTCTCACCAATACCCGCAGGTATTTATCATCTATGTGTGTTGTGTTACGTAGGATGGCCATTACAACTGGCCTACTCACCAATACCCGCAGGTATTTATCATCTATGTGTGTTGTGTTACGTAGGATGGCCATTACAACTGGCCTACTCACCAATACCCGCAGGTATTTATCATCTATGTGTGTTGTGTTACGTAGGATGGCCATTACAACTGGCCTACTCACCAATACCCGCAGGTATTTATCATCTATGTGTGTTGTGTTACGTAGGATGGCCATTACAACTGGCCTACTCACCAATACCCGCAGGTATTTATCATCTATGTGTGTTGTGTTACGTAGGATGGCCATTACAACTGGCCTACTCACCAATACCCGCAGGTATTTATCATCTATGTGTGTTGTGTTACGTAGGATGGCCATTACAACTGGCCTACTCACCAATACCCGCAGGTATTTATCATCTATGTGTGTTGTGTTACGTAGGATGGCCATTACAACTGGTCTCAGTGGTTTCACCTTCACCAGGGGAAAACTTTTCGACAACAATTCCTTCAACTTCTTGTCCCGTTCCCTGCCTTCCTTCTGGCCTATGTCATTGATGTGCTGAATAAGTCTTTCTCTTATTTCCTGCAAAATAATAAAATCATATACAATACCAACCAGTAAACAGCTTATTAGTATAACAATTCTTGGTAGAGGACTCTTGAACAGAATATGTTTTATTTGGTTTAGGGTAGGAGGGAGAGCAGGCATATGCCTAAATGAGTCCTTCAAAATATTAACACATATAGGCCTGCACACACAAAACTAAAATATTTTATGGTCACTGACCACTTTGTTGATCACAAAGAAAGGAAGATTGCAACCAAAGTGGTAACCATTGTTTAACAGGGACATTGTTTAACTCGAGGAGGGCCATATAGTATGTCTATGGAGGAAAGAGGAGCCAGCAGTATTTGATTACAGAAATCTTAGCCCAATAAACCAGCAATACATATATAATAATTTTTATTCAATAGTTCAGTGGTGGTTTTTTATATTTTCTCGCTTATTTATTTATTTATTGTTCCTATACTTTTCCTCACATGTGATTTGTTGGCGAACTAAAATTGATTGCATGTTTGTGTGAATAAAGCTTTACAGCTAATTTTCACTTGTAAAGAAAAAAATGTACTAAGGAGGAAGGAAATGTACTAAGTTGATACTAATATTTAAACAGGTTTTCCAGCCGACCTGAAAACCTGGAATCGTAGGTGAATTTTAATTACTAGAAAAAAAGTCTGAAAATGAACTTAAATTTGGATTCCAGAATAATAACCCTTACCCTATGACTATGATTGATACAATACAATACAATACAATATTCTTTATTGTTAATTCGTCAAGAATTACAATAGTGTCAAAACAATAGTGAATTGTACATGTTAATTTTCATAAAATTCCTTTATTGAGTAGAAGGGTTTTGCGATTAGCCACTTCTTCAGCTCCTGGTGTAGCTTGTTGCCAGTCAGGTCTCTCAGGTAGTCAGGTAGATGGTTCCTCAGCTTGCAGCCGGTGTAGGAAGGTTTTTTCTCCCAAAGAGTTGTTCGATGAACTGGTAGTGCAAATTTGGAGCCATGACGGGTGTTGTAGTGGTGCAGGTCTTGGTTTCTTGGGGGGTTTATTTCATTCACATACTTAATGGTTTCAAGTATGTAGAGAGACACCACTGTGAGGATTCCTAGGTTTACGAATGCTAGTCTGCAAGTCTGTGGTGGTACAAGGTTGGCGAGGGCTCTTATGGCTTTCTTTTGAAGGACAAGAATTCGATTCATATTTTTTGTTGAAGTTCCTCCCCACACTGTCAAGCCATATCTAAGATGCGACTCTACCAGTGCGAAGTAAGCTGTTTTGGCCACAGAGAGTCCGCCTATGTAGTTTATCCTTCTGACGACATATATTCCAGTACTGATTTTTTTGCTTAGGTGGTTGATGTGCTCTTTCCATGTTAGTTTGTTATCAAGGATAACACCGAGAAATTTTGTGTAGTTTTCTATTGTTACATCCTCTAATTGAGGGACTATGTCTTTTTTCTTACTGAAATTCAGAGTTGTAGTTTTTGTGGGGTTTTTTGCTAAGTCATTGTTCTTTGAGTAGAGGATAGCTTTATTTAAGATCGATTTTGAATTAAGGTAAAGGCTTTGGGCTGTGTTGTCCTAGATCAAAATGGTTGTGTCATCTGCATACATGATTGCAACAGCATTTTCACTCTCAATTTGTTTGGGGAAGTCATTAGTCAATAAGATGAATAGAATCGGGCCTAATACAGAGCCTTGTGGAACTCCTCTCGTCAGCTTGCTTTTTGAAGATTTGAAACTTTCTGTGACTTCATTTGATGAGTTTTTCAGTTCCACGACTTGTGAACGTCTTGTTAGGTGGCTTTTGAACCATTCTAGCGCAGAGTTTCTTATACCGAGTCTTTCAAGTTTCTTGCATATCAGGTCGTGGCCCAGGCAGTCAAAAGCCTTACTGTAATCAAGGAAGATGGCGGAAATGTATTGTTCGTTTTCTATCTGGTCTAGGACGTACTCAATTAGTGCTGTTATAGCTGAGGATGTAGATTTATTCTTCCGAAAGCCATGTTGGTTGTCAGTTAAGAGTTTGTTATGATTAAGATGTGCCATTAATCTAGCCAGAGCAATTTTTTCTATGATTTTAGAGAAACTGGAGATGAGAGAAATGGGCCTGTAGTTTTGAGCATTTTCAGTTGGTCCTTTTTTATGTTTGGGGTATATTTTACTGACTTTTATGGCGGATGGGAATTTGCCTTCTTTAAATGATTTATTTATAAGATAAACCAGAGGAGAGATGAGTTCTTGAGAGCAGTGCTTTATCATCTTAGAGGAAAACTCATCTATTCCACTTGATGTTTTGGCTTTTAGGGAGTTTATTATCGTTTTAACTTCTTTATAGGATGTTGAAGTTAGGGTAAGGTGTATTGGGCAGACTGGTTCCTCTCCATTCAGCACTGTTTCAGGGTCTATAACGATTGCTCTGTTTTGGTCAAGGGTATTTTCTGCTATATTTGAGAAGAATGTGTTGAAGTGTTCGGCCATTTCTTTTGTGTTGTTTGTGAGTTTGCCATTTATTTCTAATTCTGCAAGGGTTTTCTCTTCACATTTTCCTTTCCTTTCCTTGTTTATAACTTGCCATAGTGCTTTTGGTTTGTTGTCAGCTTGTTCTATGAAGCTAGCTGTTGAGGACATTTTTAGGTTTCTTAGTTTCATATCGTATATCCTTTTTCTATTAATCATTTCTAATTTGTCTTCATTTCTGTTCGTTAACTCAAACTTTTGCAGAGCTTTCAAAAAGTTCTCTTTAAGGTATTTTGCTTCAGGATCGTAGTACTTCATATGTTTTTTGTTTTTAATAATTTTAGTTTTCTTTAATGGGCATGTATAATCCAGTGCTGTTTGAAGAATATTATGAAATTTGTTGTAGGAGGTTTCAAGATTGGGTGAAGAGTAAACATGTTCCCAATTTTGTAGATGGAGGTGGGCCTTCAGATTGTTTAGGTTTGTGTTGTTTAGGCTTCTTTTCATTACAAATCTTTGGGAAGTGTCTTCTTGGTGTGTTTTCAGCAGGCACAGCTGCGCAGTGTGGTCAGATAGACCAGTATGCACAACTTGTCCAGTAATATACGCACATGGTATGTTTGAGCATATACAGTCTATTGAAGTGGCTGTGTCATGGGTTATTCTGGTGGCCTCTAGAGGAAATCTCCAGATGTTTTGTGTGGTTAACTCTTCTTCCAGCATGGTGTTTTTGGAATCTTGGGTGAGCCTGTCGATATTTATGTCACCGATAAGTATTAGGTTTTTCTTGTGTACTTCTTGTAGTTCTAGCGTGTCTGATAGGAGGTCAAGGGCAATTCTTGCATTTTCGATTGGTGGTCTATAGATTCCCAGAATGTAGATATCCTTTTTCTTTGTTGTCTGCATGCGAATCATTGCTGCTTCGAAAATTAACTCCTGGCATGTGTTTGATATGTTAATAGCTGATACTGTATCAGCAAGGGATTCCTTGGAATATATTGCAACACCTCCAAGTTTATGTTCTTCTCTACTAAAGTGGGTAATTAAAGAGTAGCCGGGAATTTTTGTAGCTTCTAGCTCTGTTTTTTTCAGTCCGTGTTCAGTCAAGACTAGAATGCTTGGTTTTGTGTCATTGAGAATATGGTGTAGTCTGTTCGTCTTTGTAGCAAGTCCTCTAATATTTTGGTGCATTATTGCTACACAAGAATTATTTGGAGATTTGCAGATTTTTCTTTTGCTTTTTTCAGGCTGTTTGTTTCTAAAAAAGGGGTTATAGTATGGGGCACTGTAGAGTTATTAGATTGTTGACTTGAATTGGGTTCTTGCAGCTGCTCATGTTTCTGTTCTCCTTGAGAAGAGAGGCAGTCCATCTCGGTCATGTTTAGTCGCTTGGTGTGTGACAGAATATTCTTTTTATATAGGTCTATATTTTTCCAAAAGAAGTCTTCAATGGTCTCTCCCGGCTTAAGAAGCTTGGCGGTGATCGGGGGTTTCCCTGTGTTCTTTGGTTTAGTTGATTTGTTTGGGGGAGATATAGTGCCCTTGAAAGTAGAGCAAACTCCTTTTGGAATTTTGATGGCCTTGGGTTTTTTAATATTTTGATTTTGTGTTTGTTGTGGTTGACTTTGGTGTTCTGGTGCTTCTTTCCTCAACTTGCTCTTTGCTATTTGCAAGGAAACACTGAAATGGGTTTTCTTAGTAGTTGCCAATTTGTTTTTATTATATGAAACTCGTCTTGGTGTGTTAATTGGCTTGCAAGGAGTCTCCTTTTTCTCAGTTATTAGTTGCTGGGAATCTTCTACTGTTATTTTATCTTCTAATTTCTTCATTTTTGACTCCATATTATTCTGTTTTTCTTTTAGGGCCTTTAGTTCAAGTAGAATTAGTGTTTCTGTGTTTGATGCTTCTGGATTTTTGTTGTCTGAAACTGTGGTTTTGTTTGTGAGGTCCTTCGCCTCTCCAGTGTGCTTGTCTCTCTGAATGATTTTGTAGATTCTTCTCCGGTGTTTATTCTGCTGCATGTATTTTTTTGCCTAAGGCATTTAATTTCATTCTCCATGTCCTTTATTTTTGTGTTGAAGCTATAAAAAGTTTCTTCCCTGTCTTTGTCATAATCTTCAAATGTTTTTGTGAGAGTGTTTCTCAGGCTTACTTCCTTTTCCAATTGGTGTTCTAGTTCAGTTATTGTTTCGATTAGGTCGTTGTTTCTAATTAGAATAGTATTTTTCTCATCTTCTAGTTGTTCAATTTGAGCGTGGTAGTTCATGATGTCGATGGTTTGTATGTTTGTTAGTTTCTGGGCCAGACTCGAGTTTTGTTGAGTCAGGTTGAGTACTTCTTCTCTTAGTTTGCTATTTTGTGCTAGAAGTGCGTTTCCAACTTCTGCTGCAAGTGTTAGAGAAGTTTCTAAATCGGGATCTTCTGAGTTTTCTAGTTCTAGAATTTTGTTTTCTACCTCGCCCATTTTGTTACCCTGACTTTCAGAGGATATTTGATTTGGGGGTGTGGGAGTTTGGTCTTCTTTTAGTTGTAACGCTGGCTTTCCAGAGGTGAGGGAAAGATCACTACAATTGTTACACCTCCATAGGAAAATGTCTTCTTTAGAAAGGTTTTTTAATTGTTTTTCTGTGATATTGACACATCCACCATGAAACCAGGAGTTGCAGGGACCAGTAGGGTGAAGTGGGGTAAGTGTAACCACGTTTTTGGCATAGTTCAGCTTTGACCTCAAATTGCCATCTTGTTATACAGGATACAGTTCTGAAATTTTTTATGCATAAACTTTGACTAATGGGCTTTAAAACAATATGCATTGTTATTAAAAAATAAAATCTTTTTTGGTAAAAAAAAATGACTAAAAATTTTGCGTTTTGTGGTTACACTTGCCCCAGGGTTCGGGGCAAGTGTAACCCCTGCCTGTTAAAAATATATAAACCATTGAAAAAGAGACATGGGGCAAGTGGCCAGATTCCAAATCTTTTGCTGATTCCAAGACTTTTTGACTTATTAAAATATCTTAATTTTTACTCAAGTTACGAACTTTTTCGTGAACCTCTTCTCGCGTTTTGTGAAAAACGCAAAACATGCAAAACGGAAAGATTACTGTTAAAACATAAAAAACACAACATTAATTGGTACTTACATGGTTTTAAATGTTGTTTAACATGTGTAGAATAAATCTCACAGTAATATTGTTTTTTTATTTACATTTGGGCAAGAAAATCCTAAATTATAAAACGGGGTAAGTTAAACGTAAAAGTTATATAATCCCTTAAGCAGTTCACTCACAAACAATTATGTTTTTCTTCAAATCAACTTAACTCAGTAACAATATGTGTAAAATGTTACCATCTTCTAAATTCCTAATTTTATATTTACAACAAAGTTTTTTTTTTTCTTTATACTGAATATTATATGAGTTACACCCTGGTTACACTTGCCCCGAATCCAAAAAGCCACTTGCCCGACTTCAAAATTTCAGGGGTAAGTGTAACCACGCTTGTAAAATCTAAACAATAGGAAATAGCACAGATCTGAAATTATATTCAGATTCTACATGCAAAAATTAGTTTGTAAACCAAAAACTGTCAAATTTACATTAAAAATGTGAGTGTGAAAAATTGTCAAAGTTTGAGGTCGGCACTTGCCGATGGAGTGGAAATGTAAGCCTTTTTTGAACATTCTAAAACTATTACTTGCACATATTTTATATGCATTCTTAAGGCTAAATATAACAAAGGAAGGTCCAAATAACAAGATATGATAGTATTTAGGTCCAAAATTATCTTATTAGTTGAGTGATAAGCCGTGGTTACACTAGCCCCCCGGTTACTCTTACCCCACTTCACCCTACATTTTATACTGGAGTATTTTACACCGATGTTGCATTCACCACAGGGATATTTTGAAACTTTTTTGTTCTTCGACATAGTTCAGGTGTAAAATTGTATCAGTTTTGAAAAGTTTGGCTGGTTCTTTATGTCAGGAATCTTGAGGTTCAGGTTAAAAATTATATCAGTTTTGAAAAGTTTGGCTGGTTCTTTATGTCAGGGGTCTTGAAGTTCAGGTGTAAAATTGTATCAGTTTTGAAAAGTTTGGCTGGTTCTTTATGTCAGGAATCTTGAGGTTTAGGTTAAAAATTATAACAGTTTTGAAAAGTTTGGCTGGTTCTTTATGTCAGGAGTCTTGAGGTTCGGGTTAAAAATTGTATCAGTTTTGAAAAGTTTGGCTGGTTCTTTATGTCAGGAATCTTGAGGTTTAGGTTAAAAATTATAACAGTTTTGAAAAGTTTGGCTGGTTCTTTATGTCAGGAATCTTGAGGTTTAGGTTAAAAATTATATCAGTTTTGAAAAGTTTGGCTGGTTCTTTATGTCAGGAATCCTTTATTCTTGACGACGTTCACTTTTAATTTTGTAAAAAATCCCGATCGAGGTATTGCCGAGATATGCTCATTTGCTCATGAGTATTACTATGTTCATGGGTTACAATCACCGTGTCGCTGAGGAGACCAAGAGAAATGATCACAAATGTAACGGGCGTAGTGAAACTGCCCTGACGTTTTGGGTACTTTTGAAACGATGAAACTGCCCCGCTCATTAAAAAGGATTAGCAAGGGTCGCCTCGCAAGACTAGAAATGCTGAAACTGCCCCGAGCACCCGGCCAGGTAGTCGCTACAGGAATGGGGATAAAAGGGAATAATTTTTGTCCCTGTGTCCTGTCAGTGACTGCAGTCTTCTAAGTTCTTCTGCAGTTAACTGCCGTCGACTGCTTTTCCTACCAAGCCAATTGTTTCTGTACCAATACCTAACCCAACCTAAACTAACCTAAACTAACCTAACCTAACTTAACCTAACCTAACCCAACCTAACCTAACCCAACCCAACCTAACCTAACCCAACCTAAACTAACCTAACCTAACCCAACCTAACCTAACCTTAAAAAGCTAGAAATTCCTGATATTGGTGGTAGTTATTAGAAGAATGCAGTCACTGATAGAACGCAGGGACAACAATAATTCCCTCTTTTTCGTTTCTGTACCAATACCTAACCTAAAATCAGCTAGTGAATTCCTGATATTGGTGGTAGTTATTAGAAGACTGCAGTCACTGACATAACGTAGGGGCAACAAAAATTCCCTTTTCCCCAGACCCGTAGCGGCTACCTGGCCAGGCGCTCGGGGCAATTTCAGCATTTCTGGTATGGCGAGGTGACCATTCTTGATACTCTGTAATGAGCGGGGCAGTTTCATCATTTAAAACTTACCTAAAATATCGGGGCAGTTTCATTGTCCCCAATGTAACTGTGATCTCAGGAGACGATCATAAGCGTGTAGGCTACTATTAGATAAAAATAACATTTTTTCAATAGGTAGTCAATCCTACATTTTTGATACTGGAAACAAATAGGTGTTCGTGTATACTACGTTGAAAAAAATATGTTCGCAAAACATAGGTCTCTAGTCTACACAATGGAATATTTAAAACCGTTTTTAATATAAATAAAAAAAAAATTACCTCCATTACTGATGTGTGGAAGTCTAACCTCCTGACTCCGTGAAGGTCCAGCAAAGGCAGCATTTGTCTCAGAGACGGCAGAAGAATTCCATTTTCCAACTGAAAATGTAAAAATATAGTTCATAAAGTCTAGTCTATTAGGATCCAGGACACAACTTATTTGGTAAATTATAACTCACAAATAAAAAAACATTTCATTACCTGATGTCGCCTTATCACCAAAGTTTTGTCCTGACAGATTATGTGCATTTTGGCTCTTCAGCCATCATCAAATTGTTGTAAAGGAACTTATCTTGCCTGAAGAGGTGTGTCAAAAGTTTGAAACAAAACTCATTAACTCATAGTCATATAAAACACCAACCAACGGTATCGTCCTACCATGTTGATTGGGAAGAGATTAGGCATTTAGCATAGTGTGAACTGTTTAGCATAGTTTATAATTTACTAAACTATGATAAACAATTGTGTTTTATGTGTTTAAGTATTTTGTTGTGAACTTTTAATACACCTTTTTAGACGAGAAAAATTCTTATACAACCATCTTATTGGAAACTACCAATACAGTAGAACCTCTTTAATCCGAATCCCTGTAATCCGAACATCCACTAATCCGAACCCCTCATTGCTGTACTCTATACACAGTACAGCAGTTCTTTATTGTTTACTGTATAATTTACAGTACTGTTTATTCACCATGTTTACTACTGGATTAAATAAACACTGTATTTTACTTTATAAAACATTTTTCACTTATCCTAAAATAATGTTGATCAATTTTAGCCATGTTTTAGCTATTGTTATGTAAAAACAACAATATGTTCTGTAATCCGAACTATTCAATAGTTCGAACTACCCCTGGTCCCAATTAGTTCGGATTAAAGAGGTTCTACTGCAGTTATTTCCGTACAAGGGAATGTGACGCAAAATTCTAGGGGGGGGAATAAACTAGTATTCACCTAAGTCAGGCTAGGCCTACCCCTAGAACCGGCCACACTCATATTTCTTCCCTGGAGTGCTCAGAAGGAGCCGAGAAAAATCCAGGGGTCGATACGAAGTTGTCTCGGCTTTGACTGATCAATTTATTAAAATTTAATCGAAGGCTCAGAGCTCTAGAAGCGCTCCGGAAATCCTGCAGACGCCCAGTTGGAGCTATATCATCCCAGCCTTCGCTAAAGTGTTTTGGTAAATTTTGCCTAACTTTTAGAATGACTCTGGAGGGCCGACGAGTATCCAATCATAAGCCGATTTGAAATAAATACTCGTATTAAGCTGTAAACTAATTAGTTAAAGATGTTGGTAATTGATCTAATATTGAATGTAAATAAAACAATTCCTACAGAGTCGTTGGGCCTAATTATTATAATTGAACGTAGAATTTATCGTGATATGATTTGAAATAAATTTAATATTAATATTCGTGGCTGATTATTCAAATCAGCCTACTCCCAAGACTAGGTTCTCTCGCCCGCCAATGACGGGGTTTAGAACTCAGACGACAAGTCTCGGGGTATTAAAACGGTGAATTAATTAGAATAAACGTACATAATAATCATTCGTAGAAATCATAATTTTGAAAGTAATTGATTTAAATCAAACCAAACGATAATCACCGCTAGTCACTGGCAAGCAGGAACTGGCGGGTCTAGAATCAAGTTGGCGAAATTTAAGTTATTTAGAATCAAATTTTGGAACGAAAATAGTCGTAAAACGAGAATGCCCGTGTGAAACGAAAATAAAATAAAACGTAAAAAAGGCCTAACTAGTATATCTAACCGTCAGTAAACGAATTGTCGATTATCGTGCAAGCGTAGATGTAACGACGAAGTTACTTCGAAGACGGCGTTCAAACGAAAAATCCTGTCTTTGAGTAAAATCCTTCATTCCTGCCCGCTCGAGGCTTACGAGCTCAAGCGGCGAACTTAAGTACTACTAGATAACAGCTGATCGAATTCACTTGTTGAGCTGGTCTAGTTTCGTCTGTCGTCTGTCGTCTGTCAACAAATAAACACCAGTTTGGGGTTATTGTCGGCGGCGTTAAATATCTGTAAAATCGGCCGGTTTAGCTTTATTATGTGAAACGAAGTGCTATTATGAATAAATATGTAGTTGTGGATGTGTTTGTGTACTTCACTGTGAATAAAAATAGGCCTACTCTCTTTGGCCCCTAGCCCAAGCTATGGCCAACACATAGGCCTAGGAGTAGGCTATTGTGGATAAAAATCGGGTAAGTTCTGATGTTCATTTATTCGCAGTACGTTTTGACCCCCCTTAAAATTTGGTACCTTACAGGAATTTGCTGAAACCCAAACATCTCAGACTAAAAATGGTGAATTTTGCCTTGTTGGACAATCCAGTTTAATAAATAAATTTGATTTGTTTATTTTACCTGAAACTCCTCGATTGCTTTGAGCGGATCGGTGCAGCTAGTGAGAGCATCGCGAAGGAACATTTGTCCCGGCACTCCGATGTCTTCCAATCCAGTCCCAGGCATCTTCTTTTCGTTAGCACTCATTTTTGAATCCTGAAAATAAAACTGGTTCAATTACAGGGTATAAATAGCCACCCTTTCAGTGATATGCGATGATAAATGTTGTGCATCTTTTTCCCAAAAGTGCTATGGAACGATATATCGTTGTTTGTGTTTCATCAAAAAAGTGCTAAGCGACGATATATCGTGCCGGCGCGACTTTCGATCGTGCGAGTTTAAATGGGCATATTGGTTGACTCGGTTGTTGTTTCGAAACAGCGATTGTTTCATTTGATTCCTCATACGATTGAGCAATTCATAACTCAAGAATTTTTGGGAAATTACAAAAAAAAATTCTAACATCGAAAGGGTTCAAGTGTACAAACATATGTGGCTTCTGCCTTGTTTCAGCCTATTGCAGAACATCTTTGAAACACTGTGGGGTTGCTCTTTTTGGAACACCTAATATAATGAACTCAATCACTGTTATTGATGTTAGCGAGTTTTGCATTGAGCTGCATCATGAATATGTTTGCGTTCATTTGCACAGTTGCAGTATAATTGTCGTTTATAGGTCGCCTGACGGTGATCCCGACAGGTTTTTAGATAGACTTGAAAGGTTAGTCCTCTCTTTAAGTAAGAGAAGATCTGCGAACAGTGTCGTCATAGGTGGCGACTTCAATGTGAACATCTTGGTAAGAAACAGACTTACCGAAGATTTTTTACACCTTTTAAAGTCCCTTGACCTTTATTGTTCTGTGTGGGAGCCTACTCGGGGCACTGCCTGGACAATGTAGCCACCGATTTATCTAATGATCGTTTTAAGGCAGAGGTCCTTAGCTATGCCATTGCAGATCATGAATAAATTAAGTTTAGCCTAAAGGCCCGTTTTGCCAGAAGCGTCTCGTGCGTCTGACGCTCAGCGTCTATCGCTCCGCGTCAATCGCTGCCCACTGCTTTGCATTGTTTTAGGTTAGTCTATTTTGCCAGAAGCGTCTATCGCTACAGCCGCCAGCGTCTGTAACTGAGACGCTAGCGTCTGACGCGGACCACTGCTCCTGGAGCAGACGGAGACGCAGTCGCTAGCGATTATTACTGGAATAAGCACGTGTTTAGTTGTTGACTTAACTTTTGTTTCCTTAAATAAGTTGTGTTTTCAAGTTTAGTGACATGTCACAATTAAAGTGGGGATTCAATAGTGAAGAAGATGAAAAACCGATTGAAACCATTTCAGCACACGACTGTTAAGTCAATTTTTAATTGATTTTCAATTAACAATTTAAAATATCCCTCTTCAGGCCTCTTAAAAAAACATAGTACGCACTTCTTCCCAAGGTTTGCACAACATTTCTAATAGGTATCTCATCATCTTCTAATTCCTCAGCTAACCAATACTTTACTATTTGCTTTTTACAGGTCATTTCCAGAAACACTCCTTTTGCCACCAAAGTAAACCACTTACTGATCAGTGATAAAATAATCGCAAGGAACAGACGCTTCTGGCAAAACAGGCACGAGCTATAGACGCTGAGCGATTATCGCTCTAGCGATCATCGCTGAGCGTCGGACGCACCAGACGCTTCTGGCAAAACGGGCCTTAAGGGTTAAGCAGGCAGATGGGAACGTCTCGAAGCATGGTGCTATATCTAAGTTGTGTAGGCCCTTCCCTGAAAGTAAAATACATAGCTTTGTGCGTGATCTTTTTAACATAGACTGGTATGTTCTACTTCAAGGTGGTAATGCTAACCAAAATTTTAACCAGCTTTTCTAATGTTGGTTAACGAGTGGTTTCCCATAAAACCCCTCGACCCCCAAAATAATCTAAAAAACTCCATCCAGCCCTATACAGACAATCCCACTTTACTAACTTTAAGAATGTGGAAACTTTTAACCTATAATATGTACAAGGTGTCCAAAACTCCTGAAGCTAAAGCAAGATATCTGCGAATCAAAAATAAATACCAAGTCATAAAATGTCGAAAGGTGTATACTGCTTAAGAAGATTAAAAGGTTGTGTAACACAAGATGTTTTGATAACAGTGTATTATGCACAGATACATAGTTTATTGAGTTACGGAATATTGGTGTGGGGTTTCCAATCATATACCAAAAAGTTATTTAAATTGCAAAAAAGAGCGATAAGGCTTACGTAAGTGGTGTACGCTCTAGAACTCACTGTAAACCTATATTTAAACATTTCAAAATTTTAACTTTGCCTGCAATATATATTCTTCAAGTTCTGTTGTATGTAAAAAATCATTTAGAAATGTTCTCAGAAAATTCAAATAGACATAATTATGAAACCAGATTTAAAAACAACTTGCAAACAGTGCTCTGTAAATACTCAAAGAGTCAAACAAACATTCAATACATGGCAGCTAAATTGTTTAATAATTTATCAGTGGAGTCTCGGGAGTTGTCCTTGAACACTTTCAAATCAAAATTGAAAACATATTTAATACAAAAATGCACATATACAGTGGAGGATTTGTTTACATGTCAAAATATTTCTATTTAATTGTGCCTGTATTTATATATTTATATATTTTTTTAATACTAGAACTTATTATATTGATTTATTACATCTAAGTATTCATTTGCTGTATTAATTTATGTATTTTATGACGATTGTTAAAACATTGTGAAATGTCTACAACAATAAATTGATTTGATTTGATTTGATTTGAAGAAAGCCTTAAGCTTGCCAGATTTGACAGTAATGTTAAATTCATTGTATCTGCACAAAATCCTTAATCTGCAGCTGAGACTGTTGTAAAGAGAGAAGTGGTCCCTACAAAGCCTTAACACTCGACCAGCCTAATACCCAGTGAGTTCAGCGAATATTTTGTGAACTCGGTCCAACAGACCCGTTTCGCTATTGGAATCCCCCTACCTCTGGCCTAGAACTACTTGGAAAACATCCTCTGAGTTCTGCGCTATTAAAAGAAAGCAACTGGTTGTGTTTCTAGCCTAGTGGTTAGCATCTCGGACTTCGGTGCGGGAGGGACGGTGTGAGGTGTTTATTTCGGGTAGGGCCCTAATAAAATTTGACCATTACAACGGGTTCAATCCCCGGCACATCTACAAAACTTTAATGGGTTTGGACCGCTTTCACTTAAAAGTGTTTGAAATGACTTCATAATAAAATTGCCACTGACCTAGATACGAGGGGGGAAAAGCAGTTAGAGTAGTAGGCCTAGCTGGTGTTGATTACTCGGGTCATTGTAAACCCATATTTGTAGCTGAGAGCTTAATGATGGTTTGTAACCCCTATATTTTTCAGTCTTTGATCAAAATGAAGAAGGATTCTCTTGAGCTGAGAGGCAACATCCATCCCTACGTAGGAAAAATGATCTCAATTTACCACATGTTAGGTTAAGTAAAGTTCAGATGTCGAATGATATTCTTAGTTTTAATAAACTTCCTTTTGAAGCTCAGAACCTGCCAGACCCAAAATTCAGAAAAGAGGTTGAAGGGCTCCTTTTGGCAAACCCTTTGTAAATAACATAAAGAATTTTTTTATCTGAAAGAGGAATATGTAAGTAGTTTTTTTTTAGTTAACCGAGCATTGTGTGCTGTTTTTTTTCTTCTCTGCATGGAGACTTTCAGGAATTGAATTTATTTTATATTGGTAAGAAACCTTGTACTGTACCTTGTATTGTACGAAGGTTTGGCAAGAGTATTTTAAAGATCTCTTGGAAGTAGAAGAATTAGAAGAAGAGGAAGAGGAAACCGATGAAGTGTATCAAAATGTGGAACCAATGGTCCCAGACCCAACAGTACAAGAAGTAGAAAATGCAATCAAGGAATTAAAAAACAATAAAGCTCCAGGAGAGGATTCAGTATCATCAGAATTGATTAAGGCAGGAGGGGCAAGACTAGCGAAGCAGATTCACAAATTGATTCTGAATATTTGGGAAAAAGAAGGGATTCCAAACGAATGGAAGGAAGCGATAGTCATTCCTATTCATAAGAAAGGTGACAAAAAAGAGTGCACCAACTACAGAGGTATTTCTCTCCTTAACTGCACCTACAAAATACTATCAAAGATTTTACAAAAAAAATTGGTATAAAATATAATAGGTGAACATCAAGCAGGCTTCACAAGAGGTGGATCAACTACCGATCAAATATTCATACTGAAGGAGGCAATTGCCAAATACTATGAATTCAATAAACCCTTTCTCTGCCTTTTTATGGATTTCTCCAAAGCATATGAATCGATTAGTAGACGACGACTCTGGAAGATTAACTTATGGAAAAATATGGAATACCCAAAAAATTAATAAACTTATTAAAATTAAGCATATCAGAATCTAGGTGTAAGGTTAAGATAAATGGCGAAATCTCATAAAAATTTTAAGTAAGCACAGTCCTAAGACAGGGGGATGGTTTGTCCCCATTGCTATTTAATTTAGCTTTAGGAAGCACTACAAGAAGACAAACAGAAGCTGGAATTACAATAGGGACCAAAATAAACGTCCTTGCATTTGCAGATGATGTTGCAATTATAGCGGAGAGTAAAGAAGAGTTGAAAGCGCTGGTCACAAAACTCCTAAACCATACACAGAAAGTTGGTTAAAGAATAAATGAAGGGAAACCCAAGATAATGGAGTGTGGGAGAGCAACCCAAATAAACAATAATAACAATATAGAAATAGAAGGGTACAACTTTAAAAAAGTAAACAACTTCACTTATTTGGAAGTAATGCTGACGAATAATAATGAAGAAGATATGGAAATACAACAAAGAATAAATGCAGCACACAGAAGTTTATCAGCATCCCACAAACTATTTTTGAAGCTCTCAAATACTATCACACAAAACAAAACTTCGTAGGCCTATATATAAAACCATTATAAGACCAGTTCTACGGCTCAGAAAATTGGGTGTTAAGTAAAAAAACAGAAAAACGTTTGATAGTATTTGAGAACAAAATATTGAGAAAAATATATGGTCCAACCTTTGAAGATGGAGAGTGGAGGATAAAACACAATGCAGAGTTGAGGCAATTATATATGGACCCAGACATAGTGGCCAAGGTGAGAGGTATGAGAGGAATGAGATGGGCTGGCCATTTACTAAGGAAAGAGGACGACTCCTTAGTAAAGAACGTCCTTTTGAACAATCCGGAGGGCAGAAGACCACCAGGAAGGCCCAAGTTGAGATGGCGAGACCAGGATAGAAAAGACCTAAGAAGACTTGGAAGAAGGGAAGAGGAGGAAATGCAATGGATAGAAAAATCTGGAGGCAGTGGGTTGGCAAGGCAAAGTACCACCTTGGGTACCAAGAGCCTTGGCAGTAAGTAAGTAAGTAAGAAACCTTGTACTATTCTCTTATTTTAGTTTTTATTTTAGCTGTAGTTGTACTGACGTTTTCCAGTAATGTATGTAACCCTGCATTTTGTGGAAATAAAAATTCTTGATTCTTGATATAGGCCTAGACCGTCCCCGACAAGGAATGGCTTCCCGCAGTTGCAGTGCAAATGTTCAATGCGCTGACCTCACCTGAGAGAAGTTAAGACAAAAATTTTCAGGAAAGGATCAATAAGCTCCTCCTGTGAAACCGATACTACTCCAATAAGAGTATTTTGAGGAGGCACAAGCTCTTGACTGCCCACCGCCATCATATTAAAACCAAAAGATGTAGATATGCCTAACATGTTTGTTCTAGCCTAATCCAAGAAGTTTTATTTTTTTAATGTTTGACACTGTCTATACAGCTCTGGCTGGTCAAAGACGAAGAGGAGGTAATAATAAGGTAATAACGTATCTAAATGTCCCTAGGGCTCAAAAGGTAAACTTTGCAAATGTGAATTTAGGCCTCAGTTGAAAGAGGCCATTTGACTGCTTTGTACATTTTTATTTTTAAGCTAAATTATTAACTTATCTCATTATTGATCCCTTGTAGAAATATTAATGATACGTTTCGAATAATTTAGGGAGAAATGTTGTACAGTAACACTAACTAACTGCCACAGGGTAAATAGTTTGCTTGTATCAAAGGCCTGGTAGGCTATACTCACTGCGAATAGTTAATTTTCAGTTGAGATGTAAAATATAACCACGAATGGAATGACCTTGAAATTAACCTGAAATTATAACATATTATCACTTTAACCATTTAAGTTTTAGCATTTTTACTCACTTCAACAACCAATACCTAACCAAAAAGGAGACTTCAAAACTCAATTATTTAAAAACAACAACGCTTACAAAAAGTGAGCAAAAGCAAATGACGTACAACATAAAACAAAAACATAAACCATATAAACCTGATGCCATGGCCTGATCTACCACTACTACCAACTAACAACAGCTACAAAACAAACCAGTAACCACGGCTACCACCATGGCCGCCTTTACCGCCCTAACCAAGCGCTGAATTTTATAACTTTTCCCGTTGCACAATTTATTATTAACTGGGACTGACTACTTAGTATGTGAACAGATATTAAAAAATAAAATGAAGTACATAAATCAAAGAGGAAACTTATTCGTCTATAATATACCCCTTAAAATAAAAAGTAAAAAATAAAATATAAAGTCTATACTGAAAGTTAGTAGGCTAATTACTGAACGTTTATTATTTGGAAACGACTGTTGTTTATTTACATCACTATAAAATGTACATCAATGTTTTATGTAAATAAATAATAAGTGCTTTACAATTAGTTTTAATATTTTAGATTCTCTAAGGATGTCTCAGTGAGGTGAAATGCGCATCGTATAACCCAGAACATTACAATTCTTCAAATTCAAAATTCAAATTGTTTATTCAAACATTTACAGTAATAGGCTGCCCGCTGCAATGTCAAATAAACAAATGTTAAGATTATGATATACCAAATAAGAAAAATAAGGCAACTACCAAATAAAAAGTTTTCTTAAAACTTTAACGAAATTTGGTATGCGGGTCGGTAATATCAGGTATTATTTGATTCTTTTTAACTTAGATGTTCAATACTAATTTCAACCCTAAAACCCTATATAAAATTACGGAAATGGGATTTTCATCAAAACTACTCAAACGTATTGATTAAATTGAGTATTCAATGGAGCTTTAACTCTATACAAAATGGCCCCCTCCCAGTGGTGTAAAAATAACGGTTCAAAAGTTATTGCAATTTTTCAGTTTGTAGACACCGTTTTTTATTTGTCTTTTTTATTTTTTATCTGTTCTTTTGTTGTCTGCACAACAAAAAATGCTCAAAAGCAGTCGAAGTTTTCTTCGAAATGCATAGTATAATATTCAAAACTACTATTAGTTTTTAATATTATACTATGCAAATTCCTAAGAAGCCTTTGACTGCTTTTGAGCATTTTGAGACATCTTTAGGGCGTCTTCTTATACTTTACTGTAAGATCATCACTAAATTATAGTGATGATACTAAATGATAGTATAGTTGGTCTATTACTAAATGATATATATATATATTAGATTAAAGAAGTAACAGTGTCACAACATAAGAAAGACGCTCTGAAGATTCCTTAGAAGCTGGCAAAATGTGCATATGAATATAGGCCTACTATATATAAAATAAACTACAGTACTGTGTACTGTACTGTAACACTCGGTAGACTACTACGAAAACAATCAAGCTCGACATGCTTGCTTGTTTGCACTGAGCTATAATTCTAACTAGAGGTAGCACTGAATGTCAACGATGCGTGTCGCCAGCCGCCATGTTTGCGTGAGGTGTGAGTTATAAATAAGCCATGTTATTGGATGAAAAAACTCACTGCTATGCAAACCTAGTTATAGAAGCCATGTTATTGGATGAAAAAACCTGCTGCTATACCAACCTAACAAAATCAGCGACACGCTTTTGACAGACTTCTGCCATGGCAGTGCTACCTCCAGTTATAATTTTAGCTCAGTGCTTGTTTGGTTCTTGGTCTGGTGTCGCCCGATTATTATCCCTCTGGAATTCTACCCCCTGGTCAAAGCTGACGTCACTACGACGTAGTAACCGGAGTGCTCAAAAGTTAGTTCGCGGGTGGAATTTTACCCCCACGGACTCGGAAGTCTAATGAAAATAGACAGAGCGTGATTAATTTGACTATCAATAAAACCCGAAATTTTACCCCCTGTACATATAACTAGCGTTTAGACAACTGAAGATATGAACGGGCCGGACTTTTACCCTCGGAATTTTACCCCCGGATATTTTTACCCCTCGGAATTGTACCCCCGGGCTTATAATTAAGAATGATTGATTTTCTTGTTTCTGTATTAATTCAATTGTAAACATTTTATTATTAAGTAGCCTATCATTATTTATTTATTTTGTAATCTTAACTTAGTAAACAGAATTTTCTGTTTTATTTTGATGTTCGGGATTTGCGTTTGGGGCCAACACTGTTATGTTATAAGTACTTTATGTAACGTAAACTCAGTAGCTCATTTAAATAACAATAGGGTGAACGTTTCACGACTTTATTCTACCACCATGAAAAACGATGTATTTATTTTGTTGTAAAATAACACAAAACAAAAACACTGTTTTACCACGGTTGTATAATAAATTGTTAAAGAAATCTTCGAAAAACCATTCAGATGTTTGTTTATATGTCATCATAATGAACCAACATTTGGCTTCAAATATCGAATCCTGATACTCGAATCTCAAAACTAAAATTAAAAAACCTGTTCGATTAGTTTTTGTTAAAAATAAATTGAGAAAGTCTTAATAAAATGTTTACTTTTAAATTAAAAGTGAATGAAGATAATTAACCATTCTCCCTAATTTATATATTAGACCAAAAATTCCGGGGGTAAAAATCCGGGGAGTAAAATTTCGGGGGTAAAATCTGGGGGTAAAAATCTGGCCCGTACAATCTAGGTTTTTACAATTTGATGTGGTCTGATTAAATTCACAACCGTGAAAATATAGATTCCACGTTCAATCCATCGAACTGATGTCGCGATACTCAAAAGTTCGCGGCCGGAATTTTACCCCCTGGGGCCCATTTCATAATAAAGTACAAACTAATATTATTAATAAATCAGCTGATCGCCCAATGCAAATGTAATGGAAATTTTGTAGTTTATTATGAAATGGGCCCCTGGTTTGTGGCGTCACGTTTTCCCAGGGGTAGAATTCCAGGGGGAAAATCCGCTACCCCTTGGTCTGTACTGTACTAGTTTCTGTCCTGGGGCCCTATTTTTGAAATGGTTGACTGTTGAGTTGAGTGTCGAGTCATTCTATTTCCAATCGTTTCGTATTTTTGAAACGGTTGACGGTGGACTTATACAACAAAAACTACTCAACACCTATCGAGCTGTTGAGTGGAGGTTGACTGCACTTTCTTCTTCCTCTTTTCGGCAAAAAATTACTCTTTTTGAGACGACGCCATATTGTTTTGTTATTGCTTTAATTTACTAATTGCGATTTAGAGGTTATGTATTTGTTGTCAATGTATTAGCACCCAATTATGCGATTGTTTTCTGTAGAATAATCACATTTTAATTTTATTTACTGTGTCAATACTAGACTATTTAATCAAGGGTTTTATTCTTGTTGGAATGTTTGAAATAGACTAGGCATACTAATTGAACTTATTATAAGATAATTATTGTTATTAGACCTATGATTTAGTATTAAAGATTGTGGTAGAAAGAAACAATATCATAGTTTGTTTCAATACCATTCACCTAATAAAGGGATCAAATTTATTTAAGTTACGATATGCTTCCAGTGCAATGGCAAATAGCCGCTTTAACCTAAATAAAAAACAATTAAAAATAACATAAAACAAACCGATGAAGGAAACTAAAATAAGGTGATGTGTTCCAAAATAGAGACGAAGAAAGCAAATAATAATGTATTTAGGATGAGTGTATGACCTAAAGTAAAGTGCAGCCTATGCCTAAACTTATAATTAGCTACACCCTAAAACAAACATCCATAGTAAATTTTATTTTTTATACTTAAGTTTATTACTTTATTTAGTTTACTTTAGTTTATTACTTAAGTTAAGGTACTTTGCAATCACTAAGATTAAGCAAGACATAACCTCAATCTCAATCTCTCAAGAACGGAGTTGACAGTTTACCTCAGTGTCTCGAAATATGGCAGATTGAGATTAGCTGCCAGATTTTAGAGTAAGAAAAGGGTTAAATCGAAGTCCGCAAGAACTCTGCATTGTGATTGGTTCAAAATGACGTCATCTGAATTTTTAACGGTCGTATGCTCTACATTTCCACCACGAGTCTCTCAACTAGTGATTCCCAACTCGCTTCCCAACTGTTGGGTTTCAAAAATACCAAATCATGTTGTTGGTTGAGTTGAGTGCTGACGATTGACTCAACTGTCAACCATTTCAAAAATAGGGCCCCTGATCTGTGATTGTGGTGTGTGGGGAGTGTGGGTGACCTGGGTGAGGGTGACGCTGTGTCAGCCATTTTCTTTTTCACTAACCGTACGTCGTGTTACACGCAAGCTAACCGGTAAGATAATTTTTATCTATAAGCCCTAGCCTATACCTTAATTTATTTTGAAGATACTTTGCTCAAAGGGCAAATTTTCGATGTATGTATTAAACTAAGAATCAGCTTATCAGTTTCAAAGTAGCCTATGTTAATAGGATAAGGCATTTATGAGTTCTGCTCCACGCAACACGCAATAGAATCATAAATGCCAGCCATTTCAAAAGCTTAGGCAGGCAGCTAGATGGGCTATTTTTCATCTCATTCATCAGCAGTGTAGTCTTAAATTAACCATTATGGAAAGCTTCCCCTTTCCTAGAAGTGAGAAGTGACGGATGTTTGATAGTACCGGACTACCGGTATTCTCATGATTTCACCACAATCACGGGAGATATTCATGGTTTTGCCGCGGTCGCGGGAGACGCAGCCGATTTCACAGTGATTTATTTAGGCCTAACTCAATGCAATTTAACATTGTGTAGCAAACTTAATATTTTTAATACTACAAATACAATAGCTTGTCCTAGCAATCAATAACAATGTAGCACAACATAGCCTAACTTATGTAAAATTTATAACTTTTAATAAACTTAACAAATAACCTTTGGAAAGCAATAGGCAAATATTTGGGCCTACGTTAGGCTACTTAGTCCTCGCCACCCTAACTTGAGGTAGCCCAAGGCCGCATTAGATATATGGCATGCAGCCTTGGGCTGCCTTAAGTTAGGGTGGCGAGGACTAAGTCATAGAGAAGGCATAGCCTAACTTAACACATTGAGTGCTGCCTGATCACCAAGGACCAAACCTCTATCATGCTGGCCTCCAAACACCCGACCAGGCTGGCCTGGTCATCTGCGCCCAGCCAGGTCCCGCTGAAATTGATCACTCAGTGTAGCGCTACATTGTGGAGATTGTATGTGCGTTGCTAGCGGTAAACTTATATAACCTATTGGCCTACTGTGTGTTTTTCGCCCGCCGTTCCTGCGGACTGGTGCCGGTCCCGGGACCCGTAAATTCCCACTTGCATAAGTTACCGGTACCTCTTAAGTTAAGTTACTGGTATTGACTTTACACATTTATTTTCCTACGGTTACCTAACACTGTACATGTCCTCTCACTGATTTTAGAAAGCAAAGTGGCCAATTCGCTCATCAGTGAGACAATGTTAACATTGTCTTACTCTATTTACTTTGTCTCACTCCAGATTTGCAACGTGAAGACATGAAATAGTGAGCGCGTAACATGCAGGCAACGTCGTATGCGCGCGAAATACATTGGCAGCACTGGCTGTAAATCAGCTGGTCAGCTGTTGTACTGTTGTATTTGTCACTTCACATTAAATGTTATATTAAAAGTTCACTTCTGTGTAAAAATAGGTTAAATGTTTCTTCACCAATTTATTTGTTTTATGGTAACTGTAGGAAAAGTATAATGTGCAACTCGAGTTCAAAGTACAATTGCCTCACTCGAGAAACCATTCCTCACTCGCCTACGGCTCGTGAGTAAGGATTTCTCTCGAGTGAGTCAATTGCTCACTTTTCTCACTAGTTTCACAAATAACTATTACGTTACTTAGGTAACTTATTTCTTCTGTGTTAAGTTATTGCTTTTTAAGTTAAGTTATTTGACATAAAAGCCCTTTCCAACTGATTTTATTAGTTTATTATTTTTGTTAACTTAATGTGTCTTTTAATAAAGATCAGCAGTTCCATGTTCCACTGTAATTAAAATTAACAATGGTTGGGTGGGAGAAAGGGGTTGGTACCTAGGTAACTTATATAAATTAATTTGTAAATAAGTTATTAGTTATACTGTAGTGCTATAACATTTTTAGTGTGAAAAACAGCATTTGTGAGACCAAAAATGGAGTAGGTATTTTCGTCATATTGCCTTCAAACTTCATTGCACTGGCCGGGCTGGTCACTTGTGACAGGCGATTTCGGGCAACATTTTTATTGGAAAAAAACTGCTCAAAACACTATTTCTGACCTGGATCCTCACTTCTGGCAACAAAAAATAACATTTCATGTAGCCTACAACAAAAAACTTTTAGGTCCTGGTGAAGGACACTGATATATTTACAGCCCCACTCAATGTGTTAATAAGAAATTAGAAGAGGCGGAAGAAAAAAAAACCTTTAATTAGGCTAAACATTTAACATGAAACCCTTAAGTTAGGCCTAAATATTTAACATTTAAACCCTGGGTGAATATAATTTTGTAGCCTCTACTGTCCACATTGACATGTTATTAATTGCCTATTGTCAGATTTTCTTTGCTGGAAGATCGTGAATGACACGTGCCACATCAACCTCACTGGCAGAAGCTAATCATAATCATAATTGGCTAGACTTTTTGTATTGTTTATAACTTAATACCTTACTCCATATAAGTTAAGTTACCGGTAGGCCTATACCTATTTTTCCCAGAGGGGAGGTAATTGCCCGGTGTTGGAACCGGCACTTCAGGTAGGCCACAAGCTATGGACGACTGGACAAGCCAGCCTCTTTGGGTTGTACCCAAAGTGAGAGTACCCAGTGACATTCCCTCCATTCAGGGTGGTGGGGTGTTCAGCTCTGCTAGTGTTGATTAAGTTCATAGATCTTTCACCTGCCTGTAGCTTGTGGTTGTGACTGAGTTCTTCGGGCTCGTCCTACCTGTTGTGTTCGACTGACATTTTGTGAGGCATATCCTTGACTTTGGAAGTAGCCTCGTCCTGGGAGGTGAAATACCTAGCCCCCAAAGGGGAGGTAAATGCTCGGTGTTGGCATCGGCATTTTCAAGTAGGCCACAGACATGGACGACTGGGCATTGGGTCCCAGTGACATTCCTTTATCCAGGATGGAGGGGTGTTTAGCTCTAGGAGAGATGGAAGTGCATCATATTCTCTAACCTACCTGTGTCTGTGGTTCTTTGGGCTTCGGCCTGCTTGTTGTGTGCGACCAGCATTCAGCGTGGCAAATCCTCGACTTTGGAAGTAACCTTTCCTGGAGGTGAAAACGGGCAAGTACCCGTAGCTCACGGGGACACTCAAGGGCAACGTAACTTTCCGCAGTGTGAGGGTAACGGTTTGTAGGCACTTATGCAAACCAATCCCTGTCTCTGAGCACGGACGGTATGGTTATCTTGAGTGTGGGGGGTTCTTCCCGGAACCTCAATTGAGTCAAGGGTGTCGCCACCTCTGGTGGATAGGTTCATCCGGGTGGGTCCCACTTCTATACCTGCCTCCTTTTGGGAAACCCTGATGGCCTGGCAGTGATGTTGGGTCTGACGGGCAAACGAAGTAGATCGGGTGCTGGGTCCGAGCCCGCCAGGGGTATCTGGGGATCTATCGCTCTGGTTATCTCTGGTTTCCCAGCAACTGGGTAAGGCCTCGATCGGGTAGTGGTGTAAATGGGAGGTTGGGGTTCCCCCCGTCAGCGTGCTGACGGTCCCCTTCCTTCTGGCTATTGATGGCGGGTTTGCCTGTCAGGGATTAGATAGGTCCCGAGTGTTACTTGCACTAAATGCGTCGGGGCGCTCTACCATGGTCCTCTAGGTCCCGACCTAGTGGAACCCAGGTGGAGTGACGCTTAAACAAGTAGCCGGGAACCCTGGTTAGGATTGAGGGGCAACCCTCTTTCCGAAGGGTCTGCTTCGGCAGCCGGTGAGCCTGATGACCTTAAGTCATCCGCCCATGATGTGCAAAAGGTTGATGCGTAAGCTTCGGCCTACATCATGGGGCCCGGGTAAGTCTCACGACAGGTACCGGGTATGTAGTCAGGGGGCTTCGGCTCTCATGACAAATAATGAAATGAAATGAAAATGAGGCCTATACCTATTGTGTTTTAGACGTTCTCTGGATTCTAAATTTTCTTATAGATGGCATAAGTTAAGCCTTTGCTGTACTGTATATAACTTAATAACGTAACCTTTCTAAGTAGTAGGTTATAGCCTACTACTTAGAAAGGTTACGTTATTAAGTTATAGCCTACTACCTAGCCTATCTTTTAAAAAAATATTTTGGATTTTTCATCGCTGGTTGTTTTATACATCAGAGAATAATATTTTATTTTTTGTTGTGAAACCGAAACTCCTAGGGTGATCCAGGGATTTTTTTGTAGGTATTGTTTCTTTTTCTTCCGGTTTTTAGAATGGACAAAACATTAAGATTTTAAATTTGAACTTTATTAGGCCTAAATAAAAAAAAAAAAAAAAAAACTTTAGTTATAGAAATCCTATGTCTCTTTGGTGAGATTTTTATTAAACAGGGATAGATGTAGCTTATATATTAGCTGCTTGGGAATAAAACACGTTTCACAGATACATAAAATAGGGGGAATGCGGGGGAATGTTTCCATGATTGCGGAAAGTGATTGTACAACATCACTAAGACAGCAGGAGACTAAAAATTTTACTGCAACCGGTTTTTGAGGTTTTTTTGTTCTGTCCACTACAAACTGCCTTGAGTACGTCTAGATCTTTGTCAGAATCAACTTAATGGTTCTAGAAACATTGAAATCATACTCTACAATTCAAACTGAGGATTCACTTCAGGTCATACTTTTCTAACATAAACTTGTAACAAGTCTACAGATAACTCGTAGGCAGATGAGACACGTTCTGCAAACCTGCTAATCTGATTCTGTAGTTTTACAGAGTCATGTCGTACAATCGAGGGATGCGCCGAGACAGTGGCAGAAGATCTGAGTTTGGTGGCGGCGGAGGCAACCGTAGGGGAGGTGGAAATTACATGAGCAGCTACGATAACTATAACAGCAATATGAATCCGTGGGAGGGAGGAATGGTCCCAGGCCGCTCAGGAAGCAGCATGCTTGGAAGCCAAGGGCAGGGCGATCTTCTATCTCAGCTGACCTCACCAGAGGCACAGCTGGCTCTAGCAAGCAACTTGATCACCAAGTTGATTAGCCAGCAGGTACAGCTAGCCTACAATATTGTTCTCATATTAAGCTTTTTCACACACTTCTAGCCTATCTTTATATTTGCATCTTTAAAAAAATCCTTCATTTAAAAATATTTTAAAATGTTCTCTTAAATCCAAAGATTACCTTGAATCAATATCACATTTAATTTTTCAATTCTCCCACAGAAGTTACTTGGGCATTCTGTCAGAAATAATTTTGAAGTGCTACTATTAAATAACTGCACACCTTTTGTAGTATGATTTTCTAATTGTTTTAGCTATTACTAACTTTCTGCAGTAGGCTATAATCTTACCAGTAGTTGATTACCGATGACATTATTTAACGTTGTTGTTCGGTTCACTGCAGCAGTCAGTTCCAAGTCTGCTCAACATGGGCAACATGGGGTCAGGCGGAGGCATGTCCTCTTTCAATGATAGCTATGGTAACAACCGTAACTTCCAAGACCGTCGACGACGCATGGACCAGCGCAGAACAGAGCCGTATAATAAGGTATAGTATGGAATTACGGTATGCATCAGCTTAGTTGTTACTTTTCTCTCAAGTTATTTAAATACCTTTGAGTAACAATGATCGTAATATGGTCTAGTTGAATATGGTTTTACAAGAAAGTTTTTATGACACAAGATCAGGTAACTTTTTTCATCATTTAGACCCCCTATAATTTTCTACATCGCTTCAGAATTTCTTCCCTAAAGTACAGCCTAGTTTTCTTTAAGTCAGTTGTTTTAAATCCTCGATGAAAAACATTGACAGCACAGTTGTAGGCCTATTCTCAACTATCAACCTACTTAAATACCCTAGACCTCCTTTAATCTCTTTTCTCTTGCAGATAAATGTTGAACATTTTGTTGTATTCTACTGAAATTCAGTGAAAATTTTAAGTTTTAAGAAACAGTCACTATTGCTGTTGACTTCTTTCATCCAGCTATTACCGTACTATAAAATTATGCATTTTCAGTGAAATCTTGTTCCAAAATATTTTTTGTATACCATCTCAGTAGGCATTAACTGATTTCTAAATGTTAAATAGCATAATTGAGACAGTTAAGTCTTCATACATGTCCATTCTTCTGGATTGCTTAACTTTAGGCAAACAGTTAAATCGCTTTTCAATTTGATCAGTTTATTAAGAATTCCTATACAAATCCTTTTCATATTTTCAATATTTATTATACATTTCTGTCACTGATTTTCTTAAAGTTTGTTTTAAAAGGTTGTTACTTACTTGTATGGTTCTCCACTATGCTTTCCAGTCGGGTATGAACCGACGTATGGATAGTGACCGTCGCAATCTAGGCCGTAACCGAACAGGTTACGAACGCAAGACTCCTGTTTCAAAATCTCCCAAAGCTCAGAAAGAAGAGAATAAGAAAGATAAAGAGGCTGAGAAACCCAATGGAGATGTTAAAACTGAACCCACTGATGTTTCTAAAAGGTGAGTCGGATGGGAATTTTCACCCTCTATCAGCAAAGTTTCTGTTTTTCTTTGAAAAACAAAGACATTTTCTCTACGTTATCTCCTTCCAATAACTGTCCACCAATCAAAATATGCGTGTCTAATGATTTCTATGTGGCCATTAAATGCTTCCTGTTAAAAAATTGTACATCAAAACCCTCAATCAATTAATGTTCAATTGTTTTATATACATTTACAAGCTTTTATCTAAGAACCGCCCTTTTTGCTCAAAAGTTGGCTTCTTTCAAAGCTATTTTACTCGAGCTGAAGGCTGTCGTCAGTTCCATTTCTGTTGAGAACAAATTATTCCTGGGTTGCATGGAAATTTGACCAAACTCATCATTCATTGGCTAAAATCAATAAGTGCCAAAATCCATTGATTCTTGATTGGAGCTACGTTGTGCGTAAATATTCTGTCTGGGCTCACTACAAGAAGTTGATGTTCGATGAAATCTACATTTTTTGTGGTATGTATGTAGTTTTAAAGGGAATTATATTATAAGAATAATGAAACCGTATTTGAAGGAAATATGAACTTGAAATTATTTGAACTGCAATAACATTCAAAGCAATTGTCGTAGAGTCCAAAACAGCTGCTTCGGTGGCAAATCTTTTGACAATAAGAAATCAGATATGAAATCAGACTGTAAGCGCAATCTGCTCCATTTAATAAAGTATAAAAAAAAGCTATGTCATAAATACTCTTCTTTGTATGCTTACCTTTACTCACAAATAAGAGGCGTTAGCTGTTTGCTAACATTCTGACTTGTATTGGACTGTAATATTTAAATGATTGATTGTAAGTTTTTTTAATTCAATAAACACCGCTCTTAAAAATTAATGTTAGAAGTACTCTTGGCCATGTACTATAGGGATAGTCACGGAAATAGGCAAGAAGTCATGAAAATTTCCAATGATGGATGGATTTGAGGGGACCATTCAATGCTCTAGTCAGCCGTAACTCCGACTGTTGTAGCATTTTTCAGGATTTTTCACAAATGTGACAGTTCAATTTATTACAGTTGTATTATTTTATGAGTTTTGAGTTTGTTTTAGTTCATTGTTGTACCTATTGTACTCCATTGTCATCTGTTATTAAATATTTCAGTATTTTCTACAAAATAACATGTCCAGGCAGTATTATTCGTGTGTGTATGTTATATGAAAATTTTGAGCAAAGTTCGTGAGTCATGGAAATCAATGTTAAATGGTCATGGAAATTAACAACAAAATTTTTCGGACACCCTGTATACATTAGTTTTGCAGATTTGTTATGGTTTATGTGAATATCAAAAATTATTTATTTATATTAAAAATAAAAAAACTTTCTTACTGTTTATTGAACAGTAATCTTAAGATTTTTTCCTAAACTTATATACACTTTTATTTTTAAATTTTTTTAAACATTTGACTTCTTTCTGGTCACAAAAGGCCACGGTCCGTGATAGTCTATCTGTGAAGCAATATTTTTTTTCCAAAATGTAATCTAAGTTGCAGCAGTTTAATGTTTAAGTTACATGCCCTTTCTTAAACAAATCTGTACTTGATTTATTTAGGGAAGAGAAGAAGGAAGAAGAAACCGAATCTTCCCACCCCAAAGAGGCTGAAAAAGAGGTAGGCCTAATATTAGATAAGCTCCATGTTTGGTTTTAAAAATTTGTAGGCTAATAAAAATAATTAACTTAATGACTTTTTTACATTCTTTTTAAGTACAAAGGCTTAGAAAAAAATAAGGTATAAGCTGATATAGTAGAAAGTCCATGTGGTAGAAAAGAATTAAAAGTTGAAGCAAAGTTTGAGCAAGTCTTATTTAATTGACTCAAACAACTCAGTTTTATATATTTCTCTTTGACCCTAGAAAACATAATATTTAATGTTTTAATATTTAATATTATTAATATTTAAGTGTTTAATGTGTTCAGACAAAAATATGAAAAATGCATTACATTTTGAAGCTAAATATATATTTGTATTTTTTTTTTCAGACCAAACCGATTCCGATTCCCGCAGCTCTGCTCTACTGCCACGTTTGCTCTAAGAACATGTGGGATGAAATTGTAAGTTGATTCTGACAAAGTTTTGTGTTGGTCGGCAAAAGTAATCTCATAATTGGGTATCTAGCCGACCAGGTGAATCGGAAATTGTATGTACATTTTTATGACTGGAAAATGTCCATAAATTTTGTATAGAGACTGATTTCCTATAATTTAGATATTGAGTAACCACTGACAAAATCCAAAGCAAATAGCCGTTTGTTTATTTTCTTTTAGTTTATTAGGTAAGTTTTAATTACATTTAGTATCCACTTACAACAACACTGCTGCTTTTTTAGGCAAATATACATTTTTAAAGCTAATATTTTGTGTGTAATTAGTCAAATAGAAACATATTTTTTTAGTAACGAGATATCACCTCTAGGCAGGCATATCATCATTATCATCAAAGAAAATGATAGATTATTTAGATCATTTAGGCAAATGATTGAGTGCCGGTATATTTTTTAATCTTGAAGAGATTTAATTAATACATGGCAACGGCTTTAAAAACTTTAATACTTTTACAATGGGTTGAAGAGTTTGGGTTTCTTTTTGTTGTTAGTAAGCAATGTGAATTTTTTTCAAAACCCATTGGTAAGACTGACACACATTTTCTAATTTTCAAAAATGAATGCTAATGTAGGCCTAATGTTATATTCGTATTTCTTATTTTTTCAGTCCTTCACTAAGCATCTGAAAGGAAGACCTCATCAGCTGATGATGGATGGTCTGAATGAAAAGTACAAGCTGAAAGTGGATCTGCTCCGTCATGAGATGAGAGTAAGTTTCCAAACAAATCAAATCAAAATATCATTTATTTCGCAAAAAACAGACATAACATAATATTATGATCCCTGTACAAAAGTATTTACAATATTATTTATTTTCCTAGGTTATATTTAATTTTCTATAAAAGCTTTTTAAATCAAGCGAAATTATCCCCCACAAAGGATAATTTAATCCTGTGAGTGGGAGAGAGTCGTTATATTATTAGAGATTTTTTTTAAATTATGAAAAAAAAGGAAATTAGAACAAGTTAAAAGTTGAAAGTTTAAAGTTACACTGGAGGACTGAGCGAATGGTGCCCCCCACCCCCCCCCCCTACCCTACCCCCAAAAGATAACCTGCTACTGTACTTCCCAAGCACACCCAAACTAACCCGAACCCACACACGCGCGCACACACCCACACACACACACATACACACTGCTGCACTCACTCCGACACCAACAGGCATTGGTTGTAGAAGTGTTTAGTCCTTGGCCGACTAAGTCATATCGACACCCCCTCCCCCGTTCAGTCTTGGCTGGCCAAACAAACAAAAACAATTTGAAATATTTTGTGCGATTAATGTATATAAAATATATCTCCTGTTTGTGTGTGTTTAATGTAAATAGACTATAACATTTTGTAACAGGGAAGATGAAATCTTTGATAACGAGGCAACCTAAGATTTAACCATAAGGATTGATGTGTAAATTTGCAATGTGTAATTTGGACCCTGAACTGATAACTTTTGTCCGTTTAGCTGGCAGAACAACAGCGCGAGATGGAATTGGAACGCAAGCAGCGTCAGGGACTCAAGATTTACAACCATCCTCGTGAATACTGCGCTATGTGCGACCTCCACTTCTACGGAAACCTGATTTCTCACCGCAAGAACGTGCGCCACCAGGTATTCAGAGTTTGACTTGTCAGTTAGTTTAACAGGGATTGGTCATTAAAAGTGTCATTAAGTCACAGGTTTAAAATTATCTGAGACAGGTTTTTATCCCTAATTTATCATTTTTAATCTCCCCAAAATCAGAACCATAAGGGAGAACTGGTGTAGTTTATTCTACTAATTATAGAAATATCAGGGTTGCCACCAGCCATGAAAACCTTGAAAAGCGTGAATTATGCGTGAATTTAGGTGACCATGAAAAAGTGCGTGAATTATGCGTGAATTTCGTCATTGGACCATGAATTCTCAAAATCATTATTAACAATTCAGCCAAAACCCCTAAATGTGCTGAATCAAATACTCCGTATTAAAACCATTCTCGAAATGAACACCGAGATAAAACGTCAAAGTGGGAGTGTCGAGATAAAAAGTTTTGTTGCCATGCCACGAACAGAAACGATTGCGTAGTTTATTCAAGGTCAAATCCGATCGTAACCGACGTCAGCCGAGTAGTCTAGAGATGGGAATTATCGTTGTTTTCCGGCAACGGTTATAACGATAACGCAGCTGCCCAATAACGTGTTGCGGCAACCTGTTATTTCAATAACGATTGCCAACTCGTTGCCGCTATAAACCGTTGTCCGCCGGTCGGTGTTGCGGCGTTCAGTTATCATTGTCGGTTGATCAGTTCAGTTTTCAGTTGTAGTCGGGAGTCGGGCGTTGCCGCGTTGTCCAGACAGGATGCGTTATTCTAGTTCGTTTCAGAAGTTATCGTTGCTCTGGTAGCGTTGCGGCAACGGCACTAATGGCAATGCATGATTTCGTTTTCGTTGTCGCGCGGCTTTCCTGCAACATTGTGTAGATAGATACGTTATTATAATAACAGGGAGTTCTCCGCAACGTGTTGCCGCGATAACGTTGCCGTGGCCGCAACACTGTTATTCATCCTGTTATGTTATAACGCCCATCTCTACCGAGTACCGATCTACCGATAAAATCGATGCTTTCGGAGCTAAAACATCGATCACATCGATGTTTGTTCCGAGTTTCTCGTCTGGTCTAAATAAACTAACACAGCCAATTAACCTAAAACCAATACAATTCAGTTACGGAAAACATCAATATTTCATTACTTTTGTTGGCCTAAAAGACCGATGTAACAAACCAAATCATCGGTTCGGTAATCTACCATCGATGTAAACAAATAACTTCGAACATCGATAGAAAAGACATCGATGTTTCGAAAACATCGACAATCGGAATTGATACTCGCTCTCATTCTCTACCACGATTACTAGCCCGAATCCTAAATCCTATACTAATAGCATTGAACATATGTTTTAGCAGTTCCATTTAACCAATGTTAAATCATGTTTATTTTCGGGCCAAAAACGTCATTTGTTGATGTTTATGATCCATACCGGGTTTTTTCTAGTAATCGTGTTCTCTACTCTCTACTCTAGTGTTCGTGTGGAAGGAAATACAGAGTAACCATAACCTAAAAGTTTTAAACTGATCTGAAACTTAGAAACGAGTCAAACGTTTGAAGTAGTGGTGGACACTGGACAGTAAGATCACTTGTTGCACTCGTGATTCAGTTTTGTGCTTCTTATAATTGATTACCCAACATTCAGTGGAACAAGTGTTCAGATTAAATATTTTTTATTACTACTTCCGATACTTTACAACGTTAAAATAAGAAGTACCTTGCCTTGCCATAAAGGTCAAAATGGCTTGCGCCGGCTGGAACTTAATCGTCTTCTGTGTTTGTTTTGGTCAAATATGTCGTCATTTCAAACTACTGTCAGTGTTGAGTAAATGTGTTACAACGTGAGATTAAGTTTATTTATTTAGGCCTAAGTTGCAAGAAGTCAATGTTGTGCTGAAAAATGGTGATTTCGTTCTGAGGAAGGTAAATGTAAATGTTTTGTTGAAGCATATAACTAGGTGTTTTCAGTCAATACCAATCTAACTAATGAGATGTAAATTTAATTAAATAATTGTTTTAACTGTGATTTAAACCTGTGTAGGCAAAAAATAATATATAATCTGATCCAATCTGAAGAAACATCCTCCTAACTAAGTTTATTTTAACCTTTTCTGTAACGTAATTATTTTTTTATTACTTAATGTAAGTTAGCCTATGTCTAAACTTACATACATTCCATAACTTTTGTTTCGTTCTTAGCTTTAACTAAATATTTATTTACATAATCTTACCTTTTTAGTGTGTTTTTATCAGTCAGTCGGTAACCTTTAATCTTCTCAATAAATAAAAGTTGGTTCAGGCCTAACTTAGCCTAGATTCAGCTTTGGATTACAATGTAGGCTAGCCTACTGTGTTACAGTATAAAGTAATAAAGTGCATGTGCGTTTTAGTAGGCCTAGATATGGCCCATTACTAAGTTAACCGTTTCTTGATCATGTTCTTAACATTTGTTTTTATAGTAGCCTATTATCTTAATTTGATGTTTAGACAGTAAAGTTCTAGGCCATTGCTGGATTAACTAAGTTAAACCTTTTATGTTTGGATGCAATGTTTTTTTAGGTTAGGCCTAGACCTAACTACCAATCCGACTTATTTTTTTATTTATTATTTCTTCTAACGTTTGAATTTATCATTAGCCCTATGATGTTGTTAAATCAGATGTTTCAATTTTTTTAAATAATTACCGTACATCGTATTATCCCACACAAGATTTTTATTAATATCCTTTTTCATCTGTGATTTTACTTTTTTAGACTGGATAAATTATATTAAATTCTTATTATTAACTCTAAAATAAACGCATGAAATGTGTTTTATTTGATAGTAGCACACAAAACTATATATTGTCGATAAATTAATGTACAATTCTGAACTAGGCAACACTCTTTTATGGTGAAATTGTGCGAGCATATACCCCATGAATTTTTCAAAACTACCAATGAAAACCTTGAATTATGCATGAATTTTTTTATCTCACTTTGGTGGCAACCCTGAATATACAAAACAGAGAAATTGTATGATTATTTTATAGAATAGATAAGTCTATAGAGATTGATTAAAAACACAGGGATTTATCTTCTTAAGTGTTATGAAGTTATTTGTTATTTTAATCATTTTACACACAAAAAATGTTGGGTATTTAATTGTTAGAAGACATGGAATAAAGCTTTTACATTTAAGCACAATTTAGAACAGTTAACTCTTGTGTCTTAACACGTTCACTGCTAATGACGCACTTGTGCGTCATAAGTATATTAGCAGATATATAATACATGATGTATATAATTACATAATATATTTTAATCCACAATTTATAGTATAAAATTTATTTAATTAAAGATATATTGTCACTCAATTAACATGATCATGTTAATGTTTATGTTTTTTAGCCATTTATGAAAGTATTACATATCATTAGCAGTGAATGTGTTAAAAAAATAAATTAGTAAATAAAATTTAAAAAAATATCATAGGCCTAATTGTGGATTTTTTTATAAGCATAGCTATTTTGTTAAAATGTGTATAAAATTAATAGAATAAAATTAATACTTATATATATATATGTGTGTGTGCTTTGTATTTATTTTGCTTTTGAAGTTTTATTCCACATTTCTAATCTGTAACTAAAATGATTTTTAAACGTAACTTTAGTTGATTTTGAAATAAAATAAATATTGGATTAAGGGGCTTATTTCCTCTACAGAAATTGAAGGCGTTTTTGCACCCCAAATGTTCCCACTGCAACAAGGAGTTTTCTACACGGCTGGAGTGGGATGAGCATCGTCTACAGTTCTCTCATCTCGAGGTAAGTAGGTTGAATCATTATTCTGGGGTTTTTAACTTTGTAGTTTGACATTGAAATTTAAGAAACATCCAACCCATCGAGTTATTAACGAATATTCCCATAGGGGAGAAAGTTACCAAAGGTGGCGCAGCAAGACTAGACCCAGGACCGATTTACTTTTTCATTTCTATGTCTCCTGAGACCAAAAACGCTATTCGTTGAAATGTTTTTATATAGTTGAATCACAAAATTTAAAGTTCCCCCGCTACTTTTTTGCTTAATCCTATATCATTGTTCTAGCTGTTAGCAAACCTCAGCTGTTAAGCTATTATTTTAAAGGTTGATAGATTTATTCCTATTTATTCATCTAAATATTGTGACCAGAGTAAGTACATATCTTTATATGTGTACTTCAATAAACATGTTAACTCGATTAATTTTGGTTTGATTTTGATGAAATTTGACATGAATGTGTAAGGCTGGATAAACTTGATTGAATTTGCGAACCAGCGAGATCAGGTAAATGGGAAATGGATATAGTGATGTTATGATTTTGAGATGTTGTTTAGAGATCAATATCATCAACAGAAATTGTAGGCCTATTTTCTATTCCAATATTGTCGATTTAACTTAATACTTCTAGGCTAGCACATACAAGACTATATTCAGTTGTTCTTAGGAGTTGGTTGTTGTTTTTTCGCATAGTTTTTTCCAATAACGATTTTGGTGTACAGAAAGTGGCCGAGTTCCGTCGAGCTACAAAACCTAACATGAAGGATGATGATTTTGACATCGATGAGCTTGTGAATCCTGACAGTGTCAACTGTGGTAAGAAAAATTGTATTTGATGGATTAATGGATACTGTATTTTATTAGCATAACCGTTCCAGACTTTGTTTGACAGTCTCTCAATTAATTATTTTACCGTTAAGATTTATACCCAGGGACCTGTTAAAACGCACGATATTGAATTGAACTGAACTAAGCTGTCAAATTTATTTTTTGTGAATGGAAATTAGTGTGCTCCTTTCCTTCTTATTATTAATTATTATTTCCTTATTATTATTTCCTCCTTAAATATATACGTGGCGTAGATCATTGCAAATGAATACCATGGATAATGAATTGCCAAAGCAGTGTTTCCACACTATTAAAACAAAAATTCTGCTTACTGGGTCAAGAAAATCTAGTTATATCACACATGAGAGCTGTCTAAACAATACAGTTTCATCCCAGTGATAGTTTCATGACTTAAGCATGTACAATAGCTGTTACTGTGTATAAATAGCTGTTAATAATTTTGTTGCTAAATTCATTTTATGAATTGGGTTAGTTTGGATCTGGAAATTAGTATAAAAATAAAATTAGTCATGAAGAGCCAACAATTTTGCTTCCCTTTTTTCTGGTTTAATAAAGTTAAATATGTTAAAGTCTTGTTTTTCTTATAAAAACCCCATGTAGGGGTTCCCTTCAAAAGAAGTTGTGACGTTTCTCAGACCTTGCGATGTTGGTTCCAAAAGCCTAGCTGGCCTCGCACTTAGGTACTGGGTAAAGCGCAGTAGCACTACAAGGGTAAATTTAAAATGTAATTTGAATCACAAACTTTGATGAGATTACTTGCTCAGGTGAGATGGTGAACAAGGAGATCCCGGTGTTGGTGCGTTCTCACTCCGAGGAGGATATCACTGGAGAGTTGAAAGAAGAACCGCTGAAGGAACGAGAGGACGCCAAGAAAGACGGCAAGGAAGGAGAGGAGAAGAAGGAAGAAGAGAAAGAGAATGAAATGGCTCAGGGCATTGACATAGAGCCGAGTAAACTCCCCAAGTACATCCCCTCAGTTCCTGTTGGTAATTGACATTTTTAAAATATTAGGTTATGAAGAATTAATCAAAAGCCTAAACATTTGTCTAGGAATAAACGCTTTTTTCAAGTTTTGTGTGATGGACACTATTTAAAATGGTTTAAATACCCGATTCTGCGCCGTACAAATGTTGGATGTGTCGCAACTAGTTTCAACTTGTCATGAAGTATATTCTTCAGGCAATGAAGGATGTCATAATCTCTTTATCAGAAGTTGGTTGATTCACATAAACTAACATTCAACATGTAAACAGAGACTCACAAACATTAAAACCGCAAATGTTCAGATGATAAATCGATAAAAATAAAAAGATTAAACAAAGTAATAACGGTAATGAGGAATAATGGGACAACACCTAATAGTTGTAGAGTCAGGACATTGTGTGTTAAATTCTAATCTAGATAGGGCATCTTTCTGTTGAAATTCTCTGTAAATTGTGTCCCCATCTCAAAAGTCGTGGATATTATAATAACCCATTCAATATTTTTTCCAGGAAAAGATTTGGTGATACAAGTGACCGGTTACATGTGCCGAGTATGCAGTCGCTTCATTCAGAGCGAAGAAGAGTGTAAAGTCCACTGTCGCACATTGTCTCATTACAACAACTACTGCAACACAGTACGAGCCAAGGTAAACAAATCCTTTTTGGTTAACCTAGTATTGTCACTTTGATGAGTTAAAAAAGAGCCTCAGACATTGTATCCGTGTATATGTAGTGTAAAATTTAGTGTATGTCGGGTTCAATTTAAACTACCGGTTATTTTTGTGTCACCACCGAAGGAAAAAAATTAAATTTCAAACAAAGACTTTTGATATATAAATACTTAGTTTATGTGACAAAAATTCATCCCGAGCACTTTGCCAATATTGAAAAAAATTTGGATGTGACTTATTACACCAGGTGGTGATAACTGCAGGCAGTGGAGAAGTTCCATGCAGGCAAGACGAATAATGAGCGAAATAATACTAGTGGGCGGGAGCGGCGCCAGGCTAGTATTTTTTCTATGTTGTCAAGCGTGGTAGGGGCGGAAGGAAGGTGAAGGGGAGGGGGAGGTATGGCTCGAGATGATTTGGTGCAGTGTCTCGGGGTATTCTTGTTCATTTATTAATATACCACTTTTTCTTTAGAAGTGTTGTTTAGTGCTAATTATGAACTATAAATTCGGTTAAAAATATTTCTACAAAGTATGCGGGTGGTGAGGTGGTAAGTTTTGAACAGAGAATTGAGTTAAAGCTTCTAGGCCAGCCAAAACCCGATTTAGTTATTACACAATGTCAAAAATCCTCTAAAAGTAGGAAAGGATTTATGTTTGTACTGTTCAATTATGCCCAAACGGGCATTATCTTCTATCTAAACTAAGTGCTTAAACGTCACGGACATCTACCCGCCATTAGTTAATTCTTGTACTTTGCTCAGTCCCCGCTGTTAACGTGCACTTGGTAAAGCTATCCTGTTTTGAGGTGATGTCTAATTCTAAGTAAGGAAAAGTTCCTTCCAATCAACTTAATTTAAATTTATGTTTTTATTTTCTAACACCCTATCCTAATAGGTTAAATATAATATAACCAATAAAAATACCAATTTATGTTTAAAAATTATTATGTTATCTATATTGCATAAAAACGTTAGTTTACGGTACGTTATTATTTCAAAGTTTTTCCCGGACCCCCCGCCTACCTAGGGGGTAATCCATACTCCCCAGTAATGGGGGAAGGCTTGGGCCATCCCTGCTCTGAGGCGCTCCGAACCCTACGCCACTGACAGAAGGCAGGGAAAGATAGAGTGTGTTCACAAATGTGAGTTTTTGCACCCCTCCTGCTCTTTTTGACTTCCCACTCTTCTCGGTTTGGAGGTCACACGGAATGCTAACACCTCTTGCCAACAAAACAACCAAGCCATACGTTCCATGCCACAAAACTATTGATATAGTAATGGATGTATCAAATCCTTTGTGACACTCAACAAAAACTGAATTCAATTCATGATCTTGGCTGTTGCTGGAGTTGCATCATGTTTCTTTTGCCCGATTTCCGTTAGCAGTGGAAATGGCTAAGATTTAATATTTAGATAGAATATTTCACGCATCAAGGAATTTTCCCACCAAAAGTATCTTCTAAAATAGGTCCACCTTCCGAAACTACAACGTAGTTAGTGTGAAAACTACAAATGGGATGGTTTATTTTTTAATCAAACATACTATTTCTAATGTTTTACATTTTAGGCTCGTATCATGGGAAGAAAGAAGAGAAATGACGATTCATCATTATTGTCTCCGACTAAAGATGGAGATAAAGAAGATGAAAAAGTTGCTGTCAAAACTGAAGGGGATGAAGCAGTTGATGGTGACAATGATAATGTAAGTTAAGACTTTTCTATACATTTATGTGTATCACTAAAATATTATTTTTATACTATATTTCATAACAAAGAGTAGTAAGGGGGTCATTACATATTTGAGACCATAGGTTTGAAGTGCCAGATTTATCGAGCACCTTAAATATGGCCGAGAATTTTTAAAGACCCACTTCCACCTGTCTCTTGAATGATGCTTTTCGCTACACTACAATGACTAATTATTTCCTTAATTAAATCAGACATTGGATATTTCTTCATTACACTTAGGTACTTGACAAAACTCTTATAATTTTTAGGCTATTCCTTCAATTTTAAGTTAATACAGTATATTACTTTGGTTGTTGAAAATTTGAAACTGTTGACAAAACAAAAACAAAGCTTTGTTTACGTCGGCAAAATCCAAAAAAAGAGAGTAAACATTCTTTTGCAGCAGTAAACAAAGGATTGATGCATTTTTGCAGGTGATAAACATATAACAAAAACAGGTAATTTCACAGTGGTGTAGCGATAAGGTTATTTTCTATTGAACTATGGTTAAAATTTGGAGAAAACAAATTTGTAAACAGAAGTATAAAAAAATACGAAAGAAAATAGTAATAATTTGTTGTTACTAACTTGTTACTTGTTAGTTTGTTGGTTTGGATTATTCTGGTTGTTGATGGAGTTGGAAGAAAGTTAATTAACTACAACAAAAAATTAACTCGCCATGAGTGCTATTATACTAATAGCATGCATGCAACTATGGGGCCACTGCTACTAAATAGTTTGATGTGTTATGTATGTTGTTCTCTATCTCTATCAGCTTTTCTGTTCCCCTCCTTTGATTTGCTTTAAAAAAGTTTCACATCCGGCCTGAAACCTTCTCAAATGACATAAAAACAATAAAAGTGCATAATTTTATTTTATTTTTTGTAATTTATTTTATTTACCTACTACTATTTTTACCTTGTTTCAGGAGATGGTGTAGGCTACTAATAAGAACGTTGCATGTTTCAATCTCAGAAAAACCGTTTTTAAGAACTTGTGTGTCAGAAGGAAATATTTAATTTCTGTTCTTAACAATTTTTTAATTTGAAACCATTGTAGTATTAAAAAATATTTGTTTTTGTTTATTTAGGGAGTTTACTGACAACCATAGATTTTAAAACTTAGCGAGTTCAATATTAAGCTGCTAATAGCACTATTTGTACATTATAACCTTTAATGTAAGCTACCGTGTTGCACTTTCCTCTATTTTATATTGTTTCTAAATTGCCAAATACTTTGGTAACATACAAGTAATATTTTTCTCATCATTTTAGATAATATGTGTGGTTTTTGTTAAGTAGGATTAAAAGTTTGTTATTTTTTTAGATGTTACAAACTGTAGTATTGTAATCTGCTTATTTCCACGTGTGTTAAATTTTCATCTTCCTTGTAAAAATGTTTTGTGGTGGTCAATGTAAAGTAAATTATTTCAACACAATGCATGAGTTCTCAATTGATTAACCTTAAAGTGTTGATATGCATAGACATTTTCTTATAGATTTCATCCTTTAACCGAGTTTATGGATAATATCCTTGATTAATCTTTTGATAAAGTGGTGTTAGAAGGTAATAAATAGGCTATTTCTAACCAAAAAAACAAATTAATCAAACTAACTAGCCTACACATTTTGGGTGATAAATAAAAAAGTTAATTTTATTTATTCACCATAAACATATTTCTAAAACTTCTGAAATGTAAAAACCGACAATTTCAAAAGTGCTATCTAAGATAATAATTCAAACATGCCCAACACTTCATCGGTCGTCTCGTCTTGAAAACTTCAAACAGCATTATTAGAGCTTTGCTAAACCGATACAATAGTATTTGAACCAGAACAATAAGATGGATCTTTCTAGTCTAAAAGCATGAAATTTCATTTTGGTTGAGTTTGGCCTGAGCTATCACTTGGCACAATCATGTCTACATCAAAACATCGTAATGACAAAAGACTAACACTGCTTTTGTTCTTGTTTTGCAAACGGCTAGTCCATCTAGTTCAGTAGTTTGCAATATAATATAGTATAGTATATTGCAATATATTTTCTCGGTATTGCGGGTCACTCTAACATCAAAGTGGCTATTTAAAGTATTCATTTTAACAAATCCCAAATTATATTTGCTATTTTTACTTTTCTATAAACAGAAACTAGAAACATAATATTTTTGTTGAACAGCATAATAAAGTTCTCATTGTTTTCCAACTGAAAATGTAAAAAATATTTAGTCATATAACGACCTTGGATAACCCAGGGGCTAGGATAATCAGTAGTGTACTGTACTAAAACATACCTAAAATCGACGGGAGGCTTGTTTGAACTGAGAAAGGAGAAGGTGGTTGAGGACAAGAGGTAGAGTGCTTCACAGGTGAACATGAGAAAAAGGAAAAAATCTGTCAATGTCAAAAAGGCACACATTGAAGTTTTATGAAAATAACCATAATCCTGGCTGGTAAGAGTTTTCTAAAATATATCCATAAAAATTAGAAATGAAAAAGATCCAACATAATTCAAATACTTCCTAATAAACATGGCCATTACTCACTCACTCATTTATTATCGGCCATTTATTACATGACCATTTATCCTCAAAAAGAATTTCTAGAGAAAACTAACCAACAATAATAAAATATGTATCTGCCATTTTTTTCCTAAGTCCCAATTCGATTGAAAGTTTATATTAGGAATTTTATTTCGATTGTATTGTAGAATAAAGAGGATAGCAGTTGGATTACCTTGAAGAAATACAGTATGCTTTTTAGAACATAGAACACACCTACAGAATATACAATATTTTTCGGGAGAATTTTCTAATATGTCATGTCATTTTGTTTCACTTCTCTACGCTTGACAAAAATCCCAAAGTTGTCCCCTTTGGGATTTTTGTCAAGCGTAGAGAAGTGAAATATTGTGTGTCTTTTGTGCCTTCTATAATGTTCTATGGCCTACCTGTACTTAAAGTAAGCTATAGTTCGGCCGCTTAGAAAGCGACCTCCTCCAGCATTGGTTTAACATTAGTGCGCAGGTCGTTTTCTAAGCGGCCGAACTATAGCTGCTATTCTCTTTATTCTCCAACTCAAAATCCAGGCCTAGAGGCTTCCTTGAACAAATCTATATAAATAAGTAATTTTTAACACCATTTAAATGTAGTTTGATGTACATTTTATATAAATATCCATTAGGTAAAGAATAATTAGGCCTAAATTGAACTATTTTGTTCACTACTTAAATAATGATCTGTGATCTACGCCTAATTTTTGCCAAATTGAGTTTTGCCAAGAAAACTTGTACAATATCCCCCCGTAAAATTTACTTTGATTAAAATACCTTAGACAAGGTGTTATAAACATTTAGAATTAACTTGTTAGAAGCACCATATTAATTTCTAGAAAGTAGCTTTCTGAGTCTGTGTTACTAATATTAAAAACCACTCGTCTAGATCCAGTAGAACTCTTTCATTTTTCTTTTACGTGTTGATTAGGCTGTCGAAGATGACGAGGGGAACTGGAAAAGGCGCAAAGTGAGCGACAAGGATGAATCTATGGAAGTGGACGAGAGCAAAACAGAAGAGAAGGATGACATACCGGACAGTGTTTGGGAAGAAGTCGATAAGGATATAGATGAATCAATAGAAGCTACAAAGGAGACGGAGGAAGCTAAAGAAGAAGACTCGGCTCCTGTCAAGAGAGGACGAGGAGGTGGTGGTAGAGGAGGCCGTCGCGGAAGAGGGCGAGGAAAATAAATGTGACGAGCAAATATCCACTTAATCAATGTTAGAAGCATAGTTTTAATCATTTTTAAGAATTTATACATAGATTGTTTTCAGATTCTATTAAAGACTAGCAGTATGCTTTGTAATGGGCAGAATGTATTAATCATCTTTTGAAGCACTAATGGGAACCAGGTGTCCTATTATCAAACCACATTATAAATCTTTATTTGGTTAACTCAGAATTTTTCTGTTGAAAGTTAATTAGTGGTAACAATTTTGTTTTAATCTCTTGACAAATTTCAATTAAATCACCAGCAAACCCCTTTGAATGTAGCCGAATCTGAAGGTCGCTGGTTTGATTCCAAGCAAGATAATTTTATGGACCCAGATACAAATTTTTTCATTGGCTATCAATTAATGATGCTATTCTACAAAAGTTCAACTTTAAATTGTAACAAGACCACAGTTTGAACCATTCCCAATCAATACCTAAAAAGTTCCACCTGCAAAGGAACAAAAAAATGTATGGGGAATTATTATTATGAGATGGGGATGCCCCTGGGTGTATTTTATTCAAATATGAATGAAGGATTCGTGTAGATCATAATTTGAGCTAAGACCAAACAAATTGCTTATAAAAACCTCCATTTTGTTTTCTTTTGTATAGTGCATTGTTTTAAGATTCTATAAATAAAAAATTAATTCCCATGTATTAATACTAAATGCCCAAATCTTTAGGTTAGGAGACATAATTGCTATTTGCAACTTATAGATCACTTTTTCGTCATATTGCAGCAAAAACAGCCGTTTTAATACATGCGTTGTGGGTATAAAGTAACTTGTTTACTCCCTAAAAGCCTTTTTAGTCCCTAGGGAGTAAGTCAGCTATTGTACACTCAGTTGAAACATTTGATTCTTCCAGAATCATTTTCATGGATCGATTTACTTAATTGGTTGTAGCTTATTTTGCATTCTTCTCAATAGTTAACATATCTAAAGGATGATGTACCTACACTAACAAAATCATCATGTACTAAATGATTGAACCCCTTTCTAAACAGCTGCTTATTTGCATTAGCAAAATTAAAACCAAGTTGGAAGTCGTTTTGAAAAAATATCTTAACATGAAAGTATTTGGTTTTCTATTTTAGTTAGCTTAAATTATGATGCAATATGACGAAAACTATTGTTCAGCACATGGTCAAAAAGTTTCTTTTCAACCCTCACTCAATTTCCGACTTTGGCTTTGCCTCGATCGTGAAACTTGAGAGTTTGGGCCGAAAAGAGTCACTTTACGCTCTAGTGAAGAATACTATCTTATTTTGTGTTGTTGTATATTTTATTTTAAATATGTTTGTAGCAACATAATTGAACATTTTATTTGAGACAACCAAGGATTTTATAATCGGCAATTATACTTTTTACTTTAAATAAATCATTATGAATTTCATGTTTGTGGGATTATTACCTTTTTTGTTGTGTCACTAAAAAAACTGTAGTTATATTTAGAAAAAATTCAAATATAGAAAATTGATATGGGAATGTGAAGAATAGAAAGTTCAACCTAAGAAAATTAGAGAATTGTGAAGTTATAAAAAAATATGCCCTCTTATATGAAATATTTTAGGTTTCTTCAAAATTTGGTTCAGAACAAAATAAATCCTTCTTTTGGTCAAAAGATTTTAGAACAAACTGGGTAAATCTGTATTAAAGGAAATGCAATCTTGCGATAAAAATCACAAATTTCATATTGTATCAATAGGGTACAAGTAAATATGATGTAGCCTATATGAAAATAGCATTCCTCAAAATCCAATTATTTACCTAAACATAACTAAAAATAATTTTAATTATAGACTTAAATAATCAAATATTAATTCTAAAAATAATCCAAGCTAAATGCTTTTTCCTAAAAACATAATTCTAAAAATAGTATTTTAATTATTTACAGTGAAATAAACTATTTTTACAGTCTTTGAAATTGAGAAATATCAATTAATAAAACTATATTTACAGCTTAACATCCCAGGTTACACTTTTTATATATATTTATTTTATAATTATTTATATATTGTGTTTGCGGTGTTGCGGTTTCTTCAAATAATCATTTTCTTTTCTTAACACTGAGAAGCAATAAGAGCTCTTTTGAAATGTTGTGAAAAATAGAAAGACAGTTTTGCCATGTGTGCAAACGAAGTAAATAACTAATTATTCCATTTTCAGAAAACCATTTACTGAATAAAATTATTAATATGCAGTATAGTACGCTATATTGTAGTAGGCTCACAATCCATTCCTGTATTAGTCATTTTTATTATAAAACAACAAAATTGGTTCTCAGCTAAAAAAACTGACGGAAAATACAGCTGTAAACTACTGTATCCCTTTTATGAACACCGACTTTTAATAACTAACGGAAACTGAAAATACAACGTGTAAACTTCAGCAACGCTTACATTCCAATCAACTCATTAGTGAAAAACAGAATAGCAAATACTTTCTTTTTGTCTTCTACCTTTTCCTTACTTTACTTGGAAATACTAGAAAGGTAGACCTAGTACTCAGTCGTCTAGTTTGGTAGTTAAAAATACTATTCTAGCAATATTTTAACGGTATAAACGGATCGGAAAATAACCTGTTTCTCAATTAACCTTTTCTCAATCTAAGTAAACACTCTAGGTTTGACGAGTGCTGTGTAGAGGCCGGTGCCGGGTGTTGCCCCGTCAACCCCCTTGGTGGAGGGGGGAGCCTGGCCTGGCGGGACACAGAAATCATATCTCTGTAGTAGACTAGACGTGAAGAGGAACACGTTGGAGCGAGCAAGTGTCTGGCCGATACATCGGTGCTTGCCTGCAACACAGATAGATGAGGAGTTTCTCATAAAATTGTTCAAATCCTTGATTAAATTTACGTTAATTTATCTTTAGAGTTGAATAGGTGTGACCTTTCTCACACCTATTCTCAGGCAATTAGCCCTTTCTCTCCAAACCTATCTTTAGAGTTGGGAGATTGGGAGATTTTACAGCAGTTTGTGTCACTCCTGGGAACAAATGATTATCAATAGAGAAAATACAGAGTGTGTAACATATAGTAGGCTAAATAAAGGAACTTGCTTACCTAAGCCGAATGGAATGTAAAATTCAGGCACTTCTAAGACTCCATTTTTCAAAAACCTCTCCGGCCTGTAGATGTGGGGGTCTTCCCAGAACTTTTCGTTCATCATGCACGAGTTGAAATTCACTACAAGCATTGTGTCCTAAAACAAATTAAGAGTTCATAATATGTGAAAAACATTAAGAGGCGGTTCACAAGCTCGGGTTTATCGTAATCCGCCGGAAATAACCGGTATTTGTGCTGCAACTTAAAAAATCAGGTTCAGTTATCTGATTTCATACAAACTTTTCATACAGGCTTGTGTTTGTAAATCAACAAACATTGATACATTAGCATACGCGAATAATGATCACTTTGGAAATTTTAATTTAGCCTTTTTTCACGATCATTCTATTGTATAGAAGTGCGTAAGTCAGGAGCAGTGGCTTCACATGTGTTTCCAGGCTGTTGTTACCAACGTCTCATCAAAGATTCCCTGCGAATCTCTGCCATTAGGCTCCGCATCGATTTGGTCTTGACCAAAGATAAGCCCGGCTTTCACATCATTACGCCCTGTCTCGTGAACCAGTTTTTTATTGTCTCTTATATAGTCCGGGACCCACGTCTGGTCGCTACTATGAAGTCCCGAGCTCGTGAACCGCCCCTAAATGCATAGGTAATGTCTTATAAGTAATAAGTACAATTAGCTCACCACCATCTCATGAGGGTGCTGACAGTTTTTTTCTGTAAAATATTTTTTCTTTATAAAAAAGATGTTGGCGGCCTCTTATAACCTTACCTTACGTCTGTCCACGTAGACTGTGGAACTGTAAGTGAAACCTATATAGCGAAGCAAGGCGGGAGACGGGACAGTACAACGGTGAAGTGTACTGATAAGAAGTGGCAGGTACCAGGATCCAAACCCACATCTGTCTTGGTCAATAAATCTGCCAAGTTTAACGAAATATTTTAGCGAGCTAATCAGGCAAATAGAAATTCTCTTAGTCTGCAGGTTTGCTGCGGTGGGGGTATCTTAAATTGAATAAAATTAGGTTGTCTTTTTCTCTATGTAAGATTTCCTATAAAACCATATAAACTGACCAATCCAACCACTTACTTTAGGAATGTCGTATCCTTGTAGTGTGGTGTCTTTCCGAGCTCTGTGTGGAATGCCGAACGTTCGTCCCACAAACATCCTCACTGACTCTAACACCACTGCCTCCATGTAGGGCATGCTGGAACATTTACATCTACTTACAAACAGTGTTCACCACTGAGGACATAATCTACATGCAGTAGACATACTATCCCATGTCAAGGTTGTAGCTATTTTGGAATAAGAAAGAACCATAGAGAAGTAAGGAAAAAACATACTTCTCTATGAAAGAACTCAGTTCAATTTTCTACTGTTCTCAATGGTAGAGTATGTTTCTAAAAAATACTTTCCCTACAGTTACCCAACAATGTACATGTTCTCTCACTGATTTGAGAAAAGTGGCCAATTCGCTCATCATTTCGCTCACTCTAATTACTTTATCTCACTCCAGATTTGCAACGTGAAGGCACGTTTCTTCTCCAATTTATTTGTTTTATGGTAACTGTAGGAAAAATATAATGTGCAAAGTGCAATCGCCTCACTCGAGAAACCATTCCTCACTCGCCTACGGCTCGTGAATAAGGATTTCTCTCGAGTGAGGCAATTGCTCTCTTTGCTCACTAGTTGCACAAATAACTATTCCCACGTCACCAATATGTTGATCATGCTAATATGAATGTAAACACAGCTAAATTAGCAAGTTGGTCAGCATGCTTGCCTAAATAAATTATATCAAATGCAGTGGTTATAGTCATGGACCAAAGAGTGGGGTCTGTTTCCTGTACCTTGTATTGTTCACTGGTTTTACAGCAGGTCCTTTAATGCTGCTGTTCACACTAAAGGAGTCTTGGGAGCCCAATAAAAACAAGTAATTTTCTTTAACTAAATTTGCCATATTGTGGTTTCTCTTAAAATTTCTGTTGATTTGACTAAGACGCTTGAAAAAATACTTCTGATATCCATACGACATATAATAGGGACATATAATCCATACTTCATTACATAATTTATGTCACAAGGGATTATTTTTATCTTCAAAATTAAATTTCCTTGACTTTTTAGATTTATGGAAGACAGGCTGATAAAGAAGTTTTTTAGATTTACTAATGTAGGTGAATTACTTAAGAACACAATCTTACTTTGGCCTATCGTTCAAGTTGGGCAGCCTGTCTCTACCAACCACTCGATCAATCTCTTCCTGAGCTTTCTTCTGTACATCAGGAAACAACAACATGTAGAGAAAGCAGAACGCGAGAGATTTGCTGGTTGTTTCCGACCCAGCCATGAACATGTCCAGGCAGATAGCTAGCAGCTGGTCCTCTGGAAAATATTACAAGTTACAAAAAACCTAAGGGCTAAAGTGGCTCCCCAGAGTTGGATACTCTAGCCACAAATTAGTTTCAATATAATTTTGTACAAAAACCATTTTTACAATGGATAATTTTGGACCATATAAGCCAAATTACTTTGTTTGCTTTTAAATTCAAACTAAGTTCCATCTTACTAATATTATAAATCTGAAAGTTTGTGTGTATGTTTGTGTGTGTGTGTGTGTGTGTGTGTGTGTTGCTCAATCACGCATAAACTACTGGACGGATTGGGCTGAAATTTGGCATGATGATAGCTCACATTCCCGATTAACATTAAAGCATATTCTTATCTCAAAAACCCTTTCGGGCTCCGCCCCAGTGGCTCTGTAGTTCCCCATGTTAATCTTATGATTTTTCATATTTTAAAGTAATTAATGAATCTTAACAGCTGTTACAATTAAACAAGTTGGTTCTGTTCTATGATGTTCAATAACATAAAAGTTACAAGTATTACCAACAGGGTGCAGCACTATTATTTTTTTATTTATGACAACAGCTACTTTCCAACCAAAAGGTGAGTGAGCGTAGCGAACGAACTTCAGCCTGGAGGCGAGTTAGCGTAGCGAACGAGCTAACCTGAAGGCAAGTGAGCGCAGCGAACGAGCTCCAATCCAAAGGTGAGTGAGCGTAGCGAACGAACTTCAACCAGGACGTGAATGAGCCATGCGAATACTTATGAAGTTAAACGGGGCGAAGCCCGCGGGTACAGCTAGTAAATGTATAAACTTAAGTTGTCTGTCAAAATGGATACCAAGGATAAATACTTGTTACAAGAAATTAGTACAGTTCAAAGTGAAATTTAGAATTATATCTTCTCTTACTATATTAATAAAGGTAACAACAGACTTGATATACCTGAAAAGCTAGGTTTGCGATCAGGTGAGTTGAGCA